AAGTGTCCCCAGATGGCTAGATCCTACCCCCAGCCTAGGGGAGGGTTGGGGCTGGGGACAGGTCACTCTGGTCAGCATCACCAGCCTTACCTCCAGCCATGTGGCAACAGCAAGTCCAGGTCTGAGCTAGGTTGCTCTGAATGTACCTGGCAGGGTGTGGGGAGCAATGAGGACCAAGTCATTTAGGACCAGCCAAGAGACCATTTCTCTCCAGCGCAGAGTGATTAACACCTCTTAGCAAAGAGCAATCAGCCAGTGCTGAGAGCAGACAGCTTTCCAGCTGCTGTGCTCAGTGTATCACACACCTCGTCTCATTTCACCCTCACGGCGCCTTGTAATTGGCCCTTGAGAACCTTAGTGAGGCTGGCAACTCTCAGACCAAAAGGTTCCTTACCCTTCTGTGTGTCAGAGATAACTGGTCCTGTGGAAGTGATGGACGTCACCTCAGATTGATGGTGCCTTTGGGGACTAAAAAATACCATGGAGATCAAAAAAGAAACTCAGGTATTATTCATAGAATAGAACTTTATGCAACAACAACACTTAACTTTTTAAAATTTTATTTATTCTGGAGGATAATTGCTTTACAACGTGCTGGTTTCTGCCATACATCGACATGAATCGACTCTAAGTATACACATGTCCCCTCTTCTTGAACCTCCCTCCCATCTTCTATCCCATCCCACCCCTCTAGGTTGTAACAGAGCCTTGGTTTGAGCTCCCTGCATCATGCAGCAAATTCCCACCGCCTCTCTATTTTACATATGGTAATGTATACGGTTCAATGCTACTCTCTCAATATGTCTCACCCTTTCCTTTCCACACTGTGTCCACAAGTCTGTTCTCTATGTCAACATCTCTATTGCTTCCCTGAAAATAGAATATCTAACTTTTTATTTTTTAGGATGTACAATTGCTGATTTAACCTAAATTTTTTCTTAAAAAAAACAAATTCAGAAAGTTTACTGGGTAACTGAAAATTGTTAATTTAAAAAAAAAAATGCTGGGGAGTGATCTCAGCCTGTCCTCTGTCTTTCATCTTGAAACTGGAATTCTCCATTGTAATATTTTACATATTTTACAATCCCTTGCAACACCAAACCCATCAGATATAAACATAGATTAATAAATTCATAACGTCTCTTCCAGGCTCTGCTGGTCAGTCTCTAGAACTGCATCTTTTCACCTCCTCCCTGAGTCCCACACTGCCACCTGAAGGCCACGATTGCCATTGCATGGCCAGTGACCTGACCAAGAGCCATCACTGCTGGGAGCTTGTACAGAATAGCCCTCTTAGCGATGAAATGACAACCAAGAATTACCAAATATATAAAGAAGGCAAAGCCCATGAGGGGTAGGCAACAGAGATTCTTCCCCAAGGAAACTGTTCACATAACAACCAGAAAACTTCCATCAAATGTACTTATTAACACCATCTGAGGTAAGTGGTCAAGCATTTCCATGCAATGAAAACTGGTAGTTTCATAAGATCCTATTTGGGAATTTAAGCAGGGAAATGTGACAGTCAAAAATTAAACCCATCCCCCAGAAGGTGGATAGAGCAGACTGCCCACAGGTGGAGAATGTATTTATGAACCAAAAAATCATGCAAAGAAAAGTTCCAGAATGCCACACAAATGAAAAAATTGAGTGTATAAAAGGAAGTTTAGGAATACGGAGGATCCATTCATACATTTCAGTATCCATTTAATAGGAATCCAGAAAGAGAGAATGAAGAGGAGTAGTGTTTTGATAAAATTGGTAGAAAATTTCTTAGAGCTTCAAAAAGACATGAATCTCAAAACAGGAAAGAGCTTGTTCATTTTTTCAAGTTGTAACTTTAGAAAAATCATAGTGAAACTTTTGAAAATTAAAGACAAAGAGAAAACCGTAAAAAAAAAAAAGTTAGGTAAAGATAAATTACCTACAATGGGATGAGAATGCATTTGACATCAAGCTGCCCAGCAGCAATATCCAACACAAGGAAAATAAAAATCTGAGTAAATGCAAATCTGAACCAAGAATTCTTCCCTCCTTTAGACTGTTATAAGTCAGGGCAAGAAAAGCTAAGTCTAGATATATCAGGACTCAGAAGATTTATATTCCACAGATCCTCCACTATCAGTTCAGTTCAGTTTAGTTGCTTAGTCGTGTCCAACTCGTGACCCCATGGACTGCAGCACACAAGACCTCCCTGTCCATCACCACTCCTGGAGTTTACTCAAACTCATGTCCATTATAGTTGGTGATACCATACAATCATCTCATCCTCTGTCATCCCATTCTCCTCCCACCTTCAATCTTTCCCAGCATCGGAGTCTTTTCAGATGAGTGAGTCCTTTGCATCAGGTGGCCAAAGAATTGGAGTTTCAGCTTCAACATCAGTCCTTCCAATGAATGTTTAGGACTGATTTCCTTTAGGATGGACTGTTTGGATCTCCTTGCTGTCCAAGGGACCCTCAAGAGTCTTCTCCAACAACACAGTTCAAAAGCATCAATTCTTTGGCGCTCAACTTTCTTTATAGTCCAACTCTCACATCCATACCTGACTACTGGAAAAACCATAGCTTTGACTAGATGGACCTTTGTAGGCAAAGTAATGTCTCTGCTTTTTAATAAGCTGTCTAGGTTGGTCATAGTTTTTCTCCCAAGGAGCAAGCATCTTTTAATTTCATGGCTGCAGTCACCATCTGCAGTTATTTTGGAGCCCCGAAAAATAAAGTCTGTCACTGTTTCCACTATTTCCCCATCTATTTCCCATGAAGTAATGGGACCAGATGCCATGATTTTAGTTTTTATGAATGTTGAGCTTTAAGCCAATTTTTTCACTCTCCTCTTTCACTTTCATCAAGAGGCTTTTTAGTTCCTCTTCACTCTCTGCCATAAGGGTGGTGTCATCTGCATATCTGAGGTTACTGATATTTCTCCCAGCAATCTTGATTTTAGCTTGTGCTTCCTCCAGCCCAGCATTTCTCAAGATGTACTCTGCATATAAGTTAAATAAGCAGGGTGACAATATACAGCCTTGATGTACTCCTTTCCCGATTTGGAACCAGTCAGAACAAGACCCAGTTTCCCCCTTAGTCAGTCTCTCCCATCCAGAAGCTTCCATAAGCCTTTTATCCTTATCCATCAAAGGGCAGACAGACTGAAAACCACAATCACAGAAAACTAACCAATCTGATCACATGGACCACAGCCTTGTCTAACTCAGTGAAACTATGAGCCATGCCGTGTAGGGCCACCCAAGATGGACGGATCATGATGTCGAGATCTGACAAAACGTGGTCCACTGGAGAAGGGAATGGCAAATCACTTCAGTATTCTTGCCTTGAGAACCCCATGGACAGTAGGAAAAGGCAAAAAGGATAGGACACTGAAAGATGAACCCCTCCACTATAGAACTATTAAATTTTGCACTCCAACAAAAAGAAAGATAAAACCAAAAGGAAGACAGGAGGTCAAAGGAGAAAGTCATAAAAGATGTGCAAACAGCAGCTAATCAGATGGCCTATCTGAGGAGCAATGGTCCCTAGGGAGGGGGCAGAAGAGACCCAAACTGCCCCACCCCACACCAGCAAAACGTACTGGCTCTTTTGAGGCCCAGCTCCCCCAACCCTCCTGGTTCCTGTCCAGCTAGAGGCTCAGATCCCAGGCCAGGCTAGGGACACACACTGGGATCTAGACACCTTCCTCCCAGCTGGAAACCAGAACTAGGGTCTTCTTCCCAGAGTCGGGACAGATGAGGCTTTGTCACACAGGTTCCCTGATTAAAAGAGGAATAGTGACTTGGGCCATGGACAGCATGTATGTGTGATTGAGGGAGAGAGAGAGACAGATCTAGGCAGAGGTGATACCCAAAGTGAGCACTCCTGGCAGCAGGGGAGTGTTGAATGAGCAGTGAGTAGAGTAAGTCCCCAGCGTACAAACAAGTTCCATTCCGAGAGCATGTTTGTAAGTCCAATTTGTACATTAAATCCAACAGAGTTAGCCTAAGATATCCACCTAACACAAAAAACAAACATAAAAAATAAAGGAAACCTTTTTAATCTTACAGTGCAGTACCTTAAAGAGTACATGACAAAAGCTGGCATACAGAGATGGGCACTGAGTGAACAGGCAAAAAGAGTTACTGACTGGATGAGGAAAAGGAAGTGGGAGATGGTTGAGTGGAGGGATGGTCAGCACTAGGAGATGGAAGGCAAGCTGCAGCTTCACTAGGGCCTGATGCTGATGGAACGCACATTCGTATCTTTGAAAGTTCACAGCTTGAAGGTTCGAGTGTCGGGGACTTACTGTATGGCAGCTGGGCCATGGAAGGGCCCCAGGAGTTTCAGCGCTGGGTGGGGCAGCGGGAGGAGAAAGAGGCTACAGAGGCCCTGGCCAGAGGGAGAGAGCCTGAAGACCCCCACACCAAGCCCAGTCATTGCGGATCTCCTCTCCACAGATCGGAAATCTGCCAATGCTGGAGAAGCTTCGGATGTTCGGAGGGTACCTTGTGGGTCAGAAGAAATGATAAGCAGAGGAAGAGGGAAGTAGATGGCCCAGATGGCAGGACACACCTGTGAAAAAGGCGGGAACCCAGGCTCTGAGTTCCCAGCTAGGCTCTCTCTACCCCTGCCCATCCCTGGCAGCTGACAGGCGCTCAAAGGGCAGTGCCACTGGGAACACACACACACATGCAGATTCATGTTTGCTCTGCACCAATAAATGGATATGCCCTCTAGACATACTCATTTAACTTCTGGGAATGGTGAGACTGTTTGCTCAAGGTAGCAGAAGTACACCTGATAAGAGGATGTGACCCAAGTTTAAAGAACAAAGATGGGTAATTAGCATGGGGAACCTCCAGCTGGAGCCCAGCCAGGAGGGGAGATCACCCCACAGCCTTCAGGAGGCTGAGCACAGAAGGGTGGGGAGCCATGAGGCGGGCAGGGGAGGCCAGAGGTGAAGAGGAATTAACAGGTGGGACCTTGGGGTTAGTGACCCAGACGGGCAACTGATGTGGTCCCCCTTTATTCTGGATGCCTTTAGCATGCAGATGCAGTGGGGAGTGGAGGGATGGTCAGGGCTGGGGCTGTTTGCAGGAAGTGTGGATTGGATGGATGCATCTTTGCTTCTGTTATCAGTTCAGGGCAGTAACCTGCACTCAGCTCTCACAGTGCCCCTTCTGTTGAGGATCTGAAGACCTGGTCCCTCTGAAGTCCTTCTGTGTTTGGCGTGGGCCCTGGGCCATGACAGTCGCCTGAGTCCCTCCACACAGTCTAATGTCAGATGAGAACTGCTCACGTCTGCCACATACCCCTTCCCCGACACACTACCTCCTCCCAGAAACAGGGGAAAGGGGACCCAAGTCCACACACCCCAAGAGACACACTATCTCCTCCCAGAAACACAGGGGAGGAGGGACCCCCAAGTCCACACACCCCCAGAGACACACCACCTCCTCTAGAAACACAGGGGAGAAGGAACCCCAAAAAGCCCAGGCTGCACCCTGGAGGAACATCCCCAGGGCCTGGGGACCTCAGTGTAGGTTCCAAAGAGATGAGAAGCAGAAGACCTGCAGGGTCCACTGCCCCTCCCCCTACCCAGCCCTGGTCTGGAGCCCAGGGTCCCTCCTCTGTCCCAGTCCCCCAACTCCAGCCTGGGTCAGCCTCCAGTCCTGTCCCCAGTCTGTCGCCGGTCGAGAGCCAGCTGGAGGGCCTTCCGCACAGTCTCCACATTGTTCAGGACGTTGTATCGACTCAGGGCCACCAGCTGCTCAAACTCTTGGGGCTCGTAGGTGAAGTTCATCATGCCATAGGGAGTGTCTGGCCCATTGATGACAAAGTCCCCACCAGCCTTCTCCTCAGACGTTTTTCGCTCCATACCTATGATGGGACATGGAGAGAGGCCGGGCGAGGGTACTCTGTGGCTAGGAGTTGCCAATCCAAAAGCCCACCTCCCCAGGACATCTAGCTGGGTCCATGGGTTCTGCTTGGGCCCCCATCTCAGCTCTCTCCCCCTCCAGGAGGAGCCTGGCCAATGTGCATGCTGAGTCCAGGAAGGAGAGGCCAGCTGGGGCCTCCAAGAGGAAGGCTTTCATACATCATCCTGGGGACAGCACCCTCCTCACCAGCCCAGGGCTCTGTGGACCAGACCCAGACCCCAGGCTCCCCTCACCTGGGGCCAGGTGTGTGCGGAAGGTACGGTTGACCAGGGGGAAGTGCAGTATGATGGGTGAGCTTGGGTCCTGAGCCTTGGCAAACAGGTAGCACTCATGGGGTTCCTTCATGTCCTCCGGGGACACCTCAATCCTAGGGAAGGAGATGCCTCGGTCCAGGCAGTACTTCTCTGTCATCTGTAAGACCTGAGTAGGGATGCCGACTTGTGCACTTCTGACCCTACCTGAGGCCCCCTGGACTCTCACAGGCCCAGGTTTCTATGCCAGCTCTGCCTCCCACCAGCCAAGTGACTTCAGGCAACACAAACAGATCCCACCTCCAAAACCCGACATGACTGGAGGGAGCCGCTGACCGAGACTCCCTGGGGAGCCCTGCTGGGTCTGTGGTTATCATTGTAACCAAGGGACAGCAGACCTAGACCCAGGCCCAGACAGGAACAAGGAATCCACCAGAAATAGCACAGTCCAGAACAGCAGTCTTCTCTTTGCCCAGATAAAGGCTCCTGAGGACTCTCTTTGGCCTCCTCTCCTGACTCCCACTCTCCCCCATCACCTTCCAGATGGGGAGACCAGAACTCCTAACGGTGTTCACAAGGTGCTCACCCACAGCCCAGAACCCAGGCCCTCCTCAATGGGTGATCCCTCAATGCCCAGCCAGGCTGCTGTAGCAAAGACCCATCCCCCACCCGCTCTGCACTTTACCTCAAAAGGGGCATCCAGAGAATAGTCGAAGGACAGAATGAGGTCCACAGCTCTTTGTGGCTGCAGGCTCAGCGGGAATGGGGAGTTGATGGCAAAGCCTCCGTCCACCAGGTTTAGACAGTCCCTCATGGGAGTGAGCTGGTTGGGGAAGGCGTCTGGATGCAAATCTGCACAAAGACAAATGCTTGTGCTTTGCAGCACCCCTCTTCTCTTCGCCCCTCTCTGTCGAGAGCTCTCCTCCTGTCTCTTGACAGCCACAGGGTCTCCCATCTCAGCTCCCAGGCCTGCCTCTCAGCACAGTCATCACAGTTCTTCCCCTGCTGGCCTCCCAGGGCAGCCAAAGCTCCACCTCAACCCCTATCATTGTCAAAAGGCAGAACTGGCCTCAGTGAGCCACAGGCACAGGCAGTAGGTGGGACCCTGCCCAGAGCAGCACCCACCTTTCCAGGCCACAAATTCCCTGCCAGACACATAGTCCTCGTGCAGGAGGAGGCCCTGGGTGAAGTTGGGGTTCTCAGCTGAGGTCAGCCGGGAGGTGCATATGTCCTGTACAACCTGATAGAAGGGTCCCTGAGGGGTGAAGAGCCTGGTTCTCAGGCGCGCTGGATCGTGAAGCTGGAGCTCTCGGCAGTCATCTAGGTGGAGGTGGGAGGGTGAAATTCAGTGAGAAGTGGTGCCCTCCTTTGCCCAGTGGTCCTTATGCTTCATAGAAGCCCGCTTCATCTCCCCATACCCCTCCTCTTCCCCTACCCCAACTCCCAGGCCTCTGACCACTGCTTCCCAAACTTAAATGACTTTCTTTCATGATCCCCATATTTTGAAAATTGCCTATGACATAGCATGTATTAAATACCACCTACCCTTAAAGCTGCATAGGCAACTTCCAGTTAGAATTTCACCCATTAAACACCTGCTGAGCAATTATCACGTGTCATGCTGGTCACTGTGCTGGGCACGGGTTTGTAGAGGTGGACAGGCCCGGCCCTGGCCCTCCAAGGCTCACAGCATACCAGGGGAGAGTCACATAAAGAGGTCATAATGGTGACAATGCCCTGAGGTCAGGACCACATGGGATGTGCATACGGTTCTACTGGAATTTGGCAGTCAGACCCTTGATCAACCTGGGGGGACGGAGTGGAACAGAGATGCCTCCTGACAAAATGATGTCTGAGCTGAACTTTTAGAACAGGGCAAAAGTTACCCAGGGAAGAAAGGCGGGGAAGGTAGTCTATGTAGCAGGAAGCTCATGGGCCATTTAAGGAGTGGGCTGAAGGGGAGCCCTGAGGTGGGGGGGCAGAGGATCGGCCAGCTGCCCAGTAGCCCCAAATTGATCTAATTGAAGCTCAAATGGAGAATTAAAGGCATAGGCTTATCACAGAGCACTCACAGCTCCCACTCCATTTTCTGACATGGGCCTCCCATCCTCCAGCCTCTTTGTAGACCTCTGGGCATCCAGAGACCCTAAGCCAGAAGATATCTTCTCAGTACGTCTCTGAACCAAATGGGACATCCAAGTCCTTTGCCCTCATTCCTTAGGCCTCTGCCAGGGTCCTATTGCTGGAAAGAGGTATTGGGGGCTGGGGGTGGGCTTGGTTGGGGGATCTCTGCTCTCACCTGTGATTTTCACACTGTCTCTGCACCAGTCTAGGAAGCTGAGACCCCGGCCAGCGGTCTTCAGGAAGATCTCATCCAGTAGAATGAGGTCCACAGCTCTTTGTGGCTGCAGGCTCAGCGGGAATGGGGAGTTGATGGCAAAGCCTCCGTCCACCAGGTTTAGACAGTCCCTCATGGGAGTGAGCTGGTTGGGGAAGGCGTCTGGATGCAAATCTGCACAAAGACAAATGCCTGTGCTTTGCAGCACCCCTCTTCTCTTCGCCCCTCTCTGTCGAGAGCTCTCCTCCTGTCTCTGACAGCCACAGGGTCTCCCATCTCAGCTCCCAGCCCTGCCTCTCAGCACAGTCATCACAGTTCTTCCCCTGCCGGCCTCCCAGGGCAGCCAAAGCTCCACCCCAACCCCTATCATGGTCAAAAGGCAGAACTGGCCTCAGTGAGCCACAGGCACAGGCAATAGGTGGGACCCTGCCCAGAGCAGCACCCACCTTTCCAGGCCACAAATTCCCTGCCAGACACATAGTCCTCGTGCAGGAGGAGGCCCTGGGTGAAGTTGGGGTTCTCAGCTGAGGTCAGCCGGGAGGTGCATATGTCCTGTACAACCTGATAGAAGGGTCCCTGAGGGGTGAAGAGCCTGGTTCTCAGGCGCGCTGGATCGTGAAGCTGGAGCTCTTGGCAGTCATCTAGGTGGAGGTGGGAGGGTGAAATTCAGTGAGAAGTGGTGCCCTCCTTTGCCCAGTGGTCCTTATGCTTCACAGAAGCCCGCTTCATCTCCCCATACCCCTCCTCTTCCCCTACCCCAACTCCCAGGCCTCTGACCACTGCTTCTCAAACTTAAATGACTTTCTTTCATGATCCCCATATTTTGAAAATTGCCTATGACATAGCATGTATTAAATACCACCTACCCTTAAAGCTGCATAGGCAACTTCCAGTTAGAATTTCACCCATTAAACACCTGCTGAGCAATTATCACGTGTCATGCTGGTCACTGTGCTGGGCACGGGTTTGTAGAGGTGGACAGGCCCGGCCCTGGCCCTCCAAGGCTCACAGCATACCAGGGGAGAGTCACATAAAGAGGTCATAATGGTGACAATGCCCTGAGGTCAGGACCGCATGGGATGTGCATACGGTTCTACTGGAATTTGGCAGTCAGACCCTTGATCAACCTGGGGGGACGGAGTGGAACAGAGATGCCTCCTGACAAAATGATGTCTGAGCTGAACTTTTAGAACAGGGCAAAAGTTACCCAGGGAAGAAAGGCGGGGAAGGTAGTCTATGTAGCAGGAAGCTCATGGGCCATTTAAGGAGTGGGCTGAAGGGGAGCCCTGAGGTGGGGGGGCAGAGGATCGGCCAGCTGCCCAGTAGCCCCAAATTGATCTAATTGAAGCTCAAATGGAGAATTAAAGGCATAGGCTTATCACAGAGCACTCACAGCTCCCACTCCATTTTCTGACATGGGCCTCCCATCCTCCAGCCTCTTTGTAGACCTCTGGGCATCCAGAGACCCTAAGCCAGAAGATATCTTCTCAGTACGTCTCTGAACCAAATGGGACATCCAAGTCCTTTGCCCTCATTCCTTAGGCCTCTGCCAGGGTTCTATTGCTGGAAAGAGGTATTGGGGGCTGGGGGTGGGCTTGGTTGGGGGATCTCTGCTCTCACCTGTGATTTTCACACTGTCTCTGCACCAGTCTAGGAAGCTGAGACCCCGGCCAGCGGTCTTCAGGAAGATCTCATCCAGGCTGGCTGCAAAGGCGCTGCCCCACATACCTAGGGAAAAAGGCAAGGCCCCAGGCCTTCACAACCCCTCCACCCACTTCACGGAGCCTGCCCTGTCCCCAGCCCTCCCACCTAGACGTACCCTGCAGGTAGCAGATCCGGGACTCGGGCCGGAGCTGCAGCAGTCGCCCCATGAAGAAGTCTGAGCCAAAGAGCTCGGTGGGGACATATGCGCCGTACTTGGGGAAGCCGACCTCATGGGGGGTGAACTCGCACCACTCTGGGAGCCAAAGTGAAGGGAATGTCACCAGGGGCTTCTGATCAGGAGCCCATGGTTCCCCACCACCCTTGTGCCTGAGTAGGAATCTTTGCCTTGTCCAGAGCAGGATGCAGCAGGTCTACTGTGCTGCTCCAAGGCACCCACCTGTACCCTGAAAACCCTGGCCTCTTACACCCACCCCCACCATTGCTTCTACCTTCTCCCTAGGTCCCCACACCCTGGCACCTGCAAAGTCCTCCCCACTGATGTTGCTGCGGACGTTGACGCTGGCGTAGATGGGGTAAGGGTTCTGGCCCTGGCTGACTGCCTCCTTCTGGTCGGACAGCTTGGCAGGATTTTCCTGGTCAGGAAAGAAGGGAGACCACTTGGCCTTTTGGGAGTTCCCTTCCCACAGCCCTGTGCCACCCTGCGCAGTGTGGTGTGCCCCCAAGACTTCGGTTGCTAAGGGCTGCAATCTAGAGACAACTCTGGAAAGGACAGGCTTCGGGCTGCAGCAGAGCAGAGGCCACTGTGGGCTTTGTGCAGTCCCAGGGCCTTTGGGAACACCCTCTCCCTTTCTTCCCATTCAAGAAAGCATATCAGAACCCAAGGGAGTCAAGTGACATTTTAAAGGAATAACTGAAAATCCAATCTACTTTCTTTTAAAAAGTAAATCACTAGAAAACATGTATTCTTTTCTTAGAAATAATACCACTTTCACAACTAACAGCCACACACCAGTGGGCCAGGACCCATAGGTCCCCAGGGTCCTAAGAACTTCACTTAGCTCTCATCTCATTTCCTAGTGCCTGCTGGGTCTGCAGTTCCCAGAGAAGACACCAGGTGAAGTGCATCACGCCTGTTTGGCCAGTGGGCTGGAATGGCATTCTTCCTCAATAGCAGGTTGGAATCCTTTGGTACACTTTCAAAGCAGAAGACCCGAACTAGGGCTTGACGACTCACCAACCAAAACCAGCATCTCTGGCAGTGAGGCCTAAGCACTAAGTTTTTGGAAAGCTTTAGTGGAACTAAGTGCTGATGGGGTAAGGTGGACTGGAGCCACGTTCATTTATTACCTACTCATCTCTTACCTCCTGGTACAGGAAATATTCAACGAGAAGGCCCCAGAGGTCAACGAGGGAAGTGCTGTGGCCGCTGCTTTCCCGGATCCCCAGTTCCTGGGCGTAGTACTGCAGGCGCTCCGTGGACATTGCTCCCATCTTACTGCTGCACACCCGAGCCTGGGCACGCTCAATAGGGCCCTGCAAGGCCACCTGGGACCAGGCTGGGTCCTTGTAGAGTGTGGAGATGCACCTGGGTATGCAGGGAATTAGGGACAGGGAGGCACAGCAAGAGGGTAGAGAGATGCAGGTGTCTGTGAGTCACCCCTCCTCCCCCATCCCTTGCTCTGACCTGCACCACCTACTCAGAGGGCCCTGTGGACTCTGTCCCTTCCTGGGCCTCCTCACCAGATCACCAGGTCACAGCCCTGCCCCTTGAGAGCTCTCCTTTATTTTGTGCTGCCCCTACCTCACTTACCAGGTGGACCCAGAGACGCCGCTCAGGTAGGTCACAGTGTCCAAGAGGCCGAGCTCCTGTAGCCCAGCCAGGCTGCCGTACAGAGAAGACATGGCTCGGGTTCCACCTCCGGAGCCCAGCACGGCTACCACCGGCACCTGGGCACAGTGATGGTCATGATACCTTCTACTCTCGCTGTTGCTCATCTGCTATTTCTCAGCATATCAGACACTGGTCTAAGAGTCTTGTGTTATCTCACTGAATCTTCAAAGCAACCCAATGGCATCCCCACTTTACAGGTGAGGAAACTGAGGCTCATGGTGTTTAGATACTGTGTCCACACTCATGCCAATAGTAAGTACTAGGCTCTCAAACTGATGCAGTAGAGCCTCAGAGATGGCTCTTAACATTATACCAGGAAAGTATGTACCTGGGAGGTATATTGGATTTGCTCAAAACAGTGAAATCAAGGTTTCTCAACCTTGGCACTGTTGGTGATTTTGGACCAGATCATTCTTTGTTGTAAGGAACTTATTCTGTGTGTTATAGGACATTGAGCAACATTTCTGGCCGTTACCCAACAGACACCAGTAGCATCCCCCTCCCCTCCCCCAGTGGTGGTGACAAATGTCCCCTAGATGGGTGGGGCATGAAGTTACCCCCAGCTGAGAACAAGAACTGAAGTGACAGAGGCCAGCATGCGGCTTGGACACACCCCAGACACAAGAGGTGCCCAGATGTCTTTTTAGGATCAGAGGGGCCAGGTGGGATCAGACTAGAAACTTTTTGGCTCCTCAAATTTTCCAGGAAGGTCTGCTTCATTCCACCCCAGGCTTCTGGTTCCTTTCCCTGTTTTTCCTTTCTTCTCCTGTCTTGAAAAAAATGTTCTGTGGCCACATCCCAACAAGGTCACTGTGCCTTCAGAGGGCTAGAGGAGGCAGAGAGCCTGTTAGCAGGCCTGTGCCCTTTCTACCCTCTGCCCACAGAATGGAGACCAGGCTCAGGGCAGGCATTACCAAACCAGAAGTCTAGGCTGGCTCAGTTGGTCAGCACCAGGCACAGGAGGAAGCCACTGCTTATTCCTGATTTACCCCAGGTCTCCCCCTCAGCACTGCCTTTCCCCCTGCCTCCCAGACACAGGCTCCCACGGAGCCTCCACTTCCAAATCTCTTTGTCTACTCTTAAAAACAGCATTGTGTCCTTGCCCCTGCAGCCTCCCGCGGACATGGGCGGGAGGGCCAATAAGGAGGTAATATAGATTATGTGAGGTGATAAGGGTGGGACCTTCATCCCATAGGACTGGTGTCCTTGTAAGAAGAGGAAGGGAGAGAGACTCCCCTAAACCCTTGCACACGCACGGGGGAAAGGCCATGTGAGGGCCCAGCCAGAAGGTGGCCGTCTATAGTCAGCAAGAGCAGCCTCATCAGACCCTGATGGCTCCTTGATCTGGAACTTCCAGCCTCCAGGCTAGATAATAAATGTCCATTTTTTGAGCCACCAGTCTGGGGTGTGCTGTTATAGCAGCCGGAGCAGACTAATAGAGCCCCCTCGGCTGAGGCTGCTCAGCCCCCATTATGTATGGGGTCCTGACTCTCCCGAGCATGCCTGTCAGCTCAGGCAAACAGGCTGGCTGCCTTCCTCCACTGGTCCCCACACTTCCTCAACACTTCCTGTCACCTCCTAGCCACACAGTCAGTCCTCTCAAGGAAGAAGTTGGATTTGGTCCTAGCCACTCTGGGGCCCAGCTCCTCCATTCCATACCTGGCTACTGTCGGGAGCCTGGCTCAACCCCAAAGCCTGCTGAAAGGCCTTGGACACGAGCCACTTCCTCTTCTCCAGAAACTCCTTCTCCCCATCACAGAGGTCGAAGCCGAGACGCAGGTCAAGGTCCCCAGAGCTGCCTCAGATGAGGTTGGGGGTGGGGTAGTGGGTGACGGTTCACTGGAGCAGAGCCTCCAGCCAAACCCATTTTCACAGGAGCAGACAGATGCACACTCCAGGGGACCCCTCAGGAAGACCCCATGGGAACCAGACACCCCCAACCCCCAGCTGAGCTGAGTCAGCAGAATAGCACCCCCACTGCCTCACCTCATCTCTGCCTTCACCCTCATGGCCACCTCCTGGCCCTGGAAGAGAGAACAGCCCATCACCAGGGCACCGAGTGGGTCTCACAGCACTGGATGCTCTGGTGACTCTGGCCCGGATGTGGACCCTGTGCCTGAGCTCTCGGCTGGCCTTATCTTGACCTCCTCCCCCTGACCCTTTCTGGTGGTGACAGAGCAGGCAGGGATCCCTCAGACACCTGGACAGGGCCTCACCTCCCCCAGGGCCACGACGCACTGCTGCTCCTGGCCTAGGGCCAGAGAGGAGAGCAGGATGCCAGGCTTGCTGGTCTGGGCCTCCTCCTTGGCCCTCGAGTCGCCCTGCAGAGAAGAAAACACTCAGAGGAGAAGGAAAGGGGCCTCGTCCAGAGTGGACTGATTCTGTCATTCGCTCCTTCCCAGGTCACATCACTCACCTGGACCATGAGCTTCTCTCCTGGGTCCACCTCCAGCCTGGAGCTGAGTACTGGGTTCACGTGGAAGGTGAACGTGGCTGGGATGCCCGTCTCCGTGGGAGGCTGCAAGGGCAAGAGCTGGGGCTTCTCGTAGGCTCCAGGCACTGCCAGCTGAATCTGCCTAGGGCCTGAGAGCAGAGCGCCCAGGTGAGTGCCGGGTGAGGGGGTGAGCGTGGGGTGTGTGTGGCTCATGATGGTGGCACCCCAGCAGCAACTCCCCTTTTCTTCCCCTTGGAAATGTCAGCTCGTCACCCTGTTCACTCTCTGACACCGTGTCCCACAGGCAAGGCATCACAAAAGACACTCAGGGTCCTATAAGCTGTCCTGGTCAGAACTGGGAGCTGTTGTTGAGCGAAGAGCTCCTGCTCAGGGTTTATGGGGCTGATGATTTTGAGATTATTGTATTAAGTATATAACACGAGTGCATGCTAAATTATTTCAGTCGTGTCCGACTCTTTTGCAACCTCATGGACTATAGCCCACCAGACTCCTCTCTCCATGGATTTCTCCAGGAAAGGATACTGGAGTGGGTTGCCAATTCCTCCTCCGAGGAATCTTCCTGGCTCAGGGATTGAACCCAGGTCTCTTCTGTGTCCTGCATTGGCAGGTGACTTCTTTACCACTAGTGCCACCTCGGAAGCCTGGTATAAAACATGTATTTTTTAAATATATATACAAGATCATATTATAATGCCGCTGCCAAGTTGCTTCAGTCGTGTCCGACTCTGTGTGACCCCATAGACGGCAGCCCACCAGGCTCCACCGTCCCTGGGATTCTCCAGGCCAGAGTACTGGAGTGGGTTGCCATGCCTTCCTCCAGGGGATCTTTCCAACCCAGGGATCAAACCTGCGNAAACTAATATGGACTATTCATAGAAAGGAACAATAAAAGCTGTGGTGGGGGAAGCAAACAGGTCTGGGTATCACAGACCTGGGCCTGGATCTGCTCCATCACTTATTGATTATGTGACTTTAAGCAAACTTCTTCTTTGAGGCTCCGTCTCATGAATTAAAAGAGAGTAATGACTGTACCTATTTTACGAGGTTGTTCTGAGGATTCAAAAATAAAACACTATAAAATGCTTAGCCCAGTGCCTGACTCATAGAAAGTGCCTGATGTTACCTGGGTAGCACTTGGCCCAGAGGCCCAGACTCCCAGCATCAGAGTGACCTTAGCTGCCACACAGCTTCCACTCCCCTCCCACACCTGGGCCCCCTCCTGAGTGCCTGCCTTTGCGACAGACCACAATGGCCCCAGTTCTTCACTTCTGGAGGTCTCACTCTTTGCCACATGACCTCAATTCCTCCCACTAAAGAAGCCGCTGTATTCCTCACCCTTCAACTTAGAGTCAGCCTTGTGCTTGTTTTGGCTAACAAAATGTTAGTGAGTGGCGGTGATGTAACCAAAGACTCGAAAAGCTCTTGCTCATCTGGACTTGCTCTCTTGCACCTCTGCAGGTGTCTTCAAGACATGCCCGGGCTTGTCCGCTGGTCACAGCAAGTAGACAAGGGACATGGGAGCCAAGCCAGGTCACCCCACCAAGCCCAGCCTAGATCAGTCCTGTCCCAGCTGACATCCAGATGTGTCTGCCACTGAGATTTTGTGGGTATTTCTTGTACATCAGTAGTTGAACTGATACAGCCGCTATGCTTGAATACTTCCAGAGACAGAAATTCACTACTTTCATAGGCAATCCATTTCATCCTTAGTCAGCTTTAAGGAGTGAACAATTAAGAATTTTCTGTCTAAGACCCATCTTCTTGAAACTAGCAGCCTCCAACCCCCCAGGAGAGAAGGCAAGACCCCAGGCCCCTGGCCAGACTCACTGTGCTCTAGATGTGGGGCTGTCCCCTCGCCCCCGAGGGTGCCCTGGATTCTCAAACATGGCTGAACCTGAGGAAAGCAGAGGGCTGTGGGAGCCAGGGCATCCTTGGGGCCCTGAACAGGGCCTGAACCAGGAGAGAGGAGGGGAGGGCTCTCTGGGGAAAGGTTGAGCTGACATCCTTCCCAGGGCCTGTGCCTTTATGAGCAAGAGTTTTCTGTCACAGACCCCTCCCAGGACTCAGAGGCAGTGTCCCCTGGAAGGAAAGGGGGAGGGGAGGAGGGGTCCTGGCCAGTGGCTCCTTGGCAGTCTCAGAACCCAAGGGCCTGAGTGAGCAGAGTGCTGTGCCCAGGAGGGAAGGCTGGCTTCTGGGCTATTCCCTCAGGTGGAGGCAAGTTGCCCCCTTGTCCCTGGAGATGCATCCCCCGCATGTCTCCCCTTGAGTGCCCTTCAGGCAAGTGGGCATGATGGGCTCAGTCTGGACTCCTCAAAGCCCCCCCAAGCCCTGAAGATCCCCCAACTGGTCTCCCCTACTCACCACCAGTACCCCATTAGTGATGACTTCAGATGCAGGCACCTGGCTGCAAGGGACACATGAATCCCTCAAGATGGCTGTTATTATAATAATGTAACCAAAGCAGTTGAAGAACTTGGGGAGCAGGGCAGGTTTGGGGTTGGAGTGGGTGTCAGGATCAGGACCTCCCCTCTCAGACTAGGTCAGCGCAGGACCTAATGATTGGGAGCTGGTAGGATCTCAGCGTAAATGGGAGGGTACGGGCTCCACTGGAACTCACCTCTTCTCCAAAACAAATTCCACCTGCAGCTCGTGTGAATCCTACATGGAGGGAGCAAGGGAGCACCAGTTTTTGAAGTACTCCCAGAGTTTCAGGACCTTCCCCCCACCCCCGATCCTATTCAACTCCAGGGACTAGAAGGGACACCACTGTCGTGGCTGCTCATGGGCCAAGGATGGGGTAGTGGCATCGCCACCAGGAGCTCCATCCATTTAAGGCTGTGGGCAGGTATGTTCTGGTAGACACTGAGGATTAATGACTTTCAGAGACACAGAGCCCATGCCCTCAAGAAGTCCACATGTCGGCTTCACTCAGGGAAGACGTGTTTGCAGGAAAGCTTTGTGGAACCAGGGCTGCAGGATGGAGGACATTTGTCCTGGAGGTCTGGCCCATGCTGACCGGGAGACCCCTGTGCCCACTGCCTCGTCTCCTCAGGCTGAGCCCACTGCCGGCGCAGGTGGGGCGGCTCACCTGCTGGCTGAGGGGGAAGGTGTGTCTGTGTGGTTGGCCTGGCTTGAGGCTCCTCAGATCAAACAGCAGCAGGGAGAGCTGGTCATTCTCCAGGATGTCCTTGTCATAGAGGGTGAGCTCCAGGACATTCTGGGGACAGTGTCGAAAGGGGGGACCTGAGACGGGGCAGAGGGCAAGCATCTGGGAAGAGACCTCCCCCTCTGCAGTCCAGCCCCCACCTTCACGGCACCATGGATCCGGTAGTGGAAGGTCTCGTTCCACTCGGGGTCCCTGCGGTTGGCCACCACCCTGGTCCGGGCGGCGCTGGGGGATGCTGAGGGCAGCCACAGTTGCACATAGCAGTCAGCTTTGGACACTGTAGGTAGGATGGACAGGTCCTCAGCCTCTAGCTTATGACTGGAAAGGTTGCCTGGAAGAAGTTGGGGTTGGGTGGGAAGGGCAGAGAGGGGAGGGGAGGCTGCCCATGGAGCAGGCAGGGGTAGGGAGATGGGGAGAGCCCATGTCTTCGACTTTGAGTCCATCTCCACCAGGGAGACTCCTCCCGTTGAAAAGGATGGAAATTCTGTGGTGACCAGTTGAAGAGATTATGTGACAGCACAGCCCATGGGGTAATTCCCAGAAACAGCCTGATCCAGAGAATGAGCTCCAAGCTCCCACCCAGTGTGAGCCTTGCAATGGAAACCCCTAGAGATCAGACAGTGACTTCTGGCAGTGGCAGGCCTCATGCACTCACCCAGGCTGGCACTGCTTCATGTGCCAGACTCAGGAAGGAGTCAGTGGTCTGTATATTCCCCTCACCTCCAGCTCCTGCCTGCCTGGCCCTTGGGCTCCCTCACCAGACAGACCTCCATACACTAGACTCTAAATACACATGTGCACTTCTGACCAGCCCCTGTTGAGCTCTGGGGAGGCCCCAGGGAGAGGAAGGGCATTAGGGGTGACTCACGCAGGTCTGTGCCCTGGATATTTTTGGCTCTCAGCACCTTCACCTGGAGGTCATAGTAGGGGTGGGTCTCCCGCTGAAAGGACAGAAAGACTCAGTTCCAGGAAGCCAGCTGTGGGGCCTGACCTCCCTGCCGTGGGGCCCACCTTGGGTTTCCCTCATCCCATCACAGAGCGTCAGGCAGCCTGGCCCAGGGTCACTGATGTCCCTGCGCCAGGAACCCAGGAGGCCTTGGCAGGTGAAGCACTGGGAGCTGAGCACATTGGTGACGAATGTGACCTTGAAATCAGTCGGGCCAGGATCAAATCAAAGCTGCACCGTGGACTAGCTAAATGACCTTGAGCAAGTAACTTCATTTCCCTGTCTCTAAGGTGGGTGTTAAGATGATAATCTCACAGGGTTATAGTGAGTTTTAAATGAGAAATCATACAAAGTGCCCAGCATAAGTACTTAATACATTAACTAATTATGTTTAGTAATTATGTTTATTGTGCACCACAAACGTGCAGCTCCCCTGACTATAGTACTGCTGCTATAGCTGAACAGCTAAAGTGAAACCTCAAGTAAGGTGTTTAGGAGATTATCAAAAGAGAAAACTGTGATGAGCTGCACCCACCAGCTCCTGACTGACAAAGGCTAAAAGATGGCCCAAGACGGGGCAGGCAGGTGAAGGGAAACCTAGAGTCATGCAGCTGGTACTGGTCTGACAAGTCGCTAAGGAGACAGCAGCTTGGGCTCAGGAGAGCAGACTGCAGCCTCCCAGGGGTGAGACTGTCTCCTCCAGACCCCAGCGAGCCCCTCACTCTCACCACCCCCTCAACCACCAACCCCCCGACTCTACCACCAGGCTAACCCAACCAGCTACAAGTGTCACATCACCTCTCCCTCCACTTCCTAACTGGGTGGGATTATTTTCAAGATTATTGTTTGGCCAGATTCTCTAAACTCTACCAGGTAATCTGGAGCGAATTGGTCCTGGCCCAGATCCAAATGCATTCCCAGGGTTGGCCCCAGTCTCCACAGTGGACTGGGCTCCCGCTCCCAGAACTTTTCCTGTCCACACCCCCGGGGAAGATCAGGTACTTTACCCGCCACTGCCTCCACTGAGGTCCCCTCTTCTCTCGCTTCTGTAGCTGCACCACGCCCAGGAGGGGCAGCCCCTTGCTTGCCAGCCACCTGGGCCAGAGCGCCCAGAGCATGGCCAGGCAGCCCAATTCCTGGCAGGAAACCCTGCCTGCACTCTGGCCACACTGACTGCTGGCTCAGGTCTGACAGGTAACTGGGGTGGGGAGGGTGGAGCTGGCCGCTCCACTGAGCACTCTCAACTGGGGCTGGAGGTGGGGTTTGACATGCTCCAGGAACTTCCTGGAGCCGTTTCCTCTGTCAGGAGGGACTTCAGACCCTTTCCAAGACAATGCAGAATGGGCACTCTGGTTCCCAGCCCCAGCCCCTGGTTATCAGGGGGCTGCTTATGGAAAATAGACGCCTGAGCCCTAGCCCCAGATGATTTGATTTAGTGGGTATGGATAGAACCCAGGTGTTTGTATTTCCAACAAGCCTTTGAGATGATGCCAACACATGTGGTCCAGGGAAGAGCAGCCAGAAAGTGCAGCATTAGGGGCCTAGTCTCCCCCAAACTACCAGAAAATCCTAAAACCAACACCTTTCAAGTCCCACCTTCTCCACGGCTCTTAAGCAGAAACTTGGAAATCTCTGGTGTCCAGTGTTTCATCCGAACTCAAAGGTATTTCTAATCTCTCAAGATACCTTGAGAGGTTCTTGTTCCTCAAACCCTGAGGGAGCACTGCCCTAGGCCCTGGTCCAAAGGTGAAGAGGGCCCAACGTCATCCTGAAGAAATTCAGACTCCTGATTGCCCATGGCTTCTGCCCAGGGGCCCTTCTTGAATCAGTGGAAATGCCTGGATGGTCCAGGGACAGAAGTAGGCATATGGCCAGGTGGTATGGATAAGGGCAGGCCAAAACCAATCCTCTTGTCCTTAAGCTACTGGAGATAAAGGCTTCAGAGTCCCCTCTGACCATTATGAGCCTGAGGCTGCAGATGGTGTGTGATGTCCCCCTTTCCGTGGACCACAACCACGTGTCCAAGATAGGCACTGTTCCTGGAAGAAAGGATCTCTAAGGCAGTGAGTTGAGAGATACATTTCTTTTCCTCAGCCAAGACCCAGTCATCTCCACTCTCTTTCCTGTGGCTCAAGTTGGAGACTGAAAAAATGACATTCCAAATGAAGTGATTCAACTCCAAAATGAAACCCACAGGCAAGTGCAGACCAGAAACTCCCAGAACTGCTGTTGGCCAGGCCCCAAAGGGGAGTGCCTGTTTTTGCTCAATTTGGAGCATGAGGTCAAGAACCTATGCTGGGATCTCAGAAATGGTGTCCCACCCTCTTGGTGATCTGTACACAGCAGGGGAGATCGAAGAGGGCAGGGGCACGGAGCTAGCTGGGGGCAGAGCCAGCCAGGCCTGGCGTCCAGGGCTCCTGACAGATTGTTTTCTAGGCTGTACCTCACCCTCTCCTGGAAGCCATCGGTCCCATGCCTCAACAAAGTCAAACCTCTTAGTCCCAGATGTTTTTCATTTCCAGAGAGAACTCAGGATGGCCAGAGATGGCTCTTGAGAAGGACACAGAAAGAACAGACCGCTGTCTTGGAGCTGGCCAAAGTGGACCCACATTTCTCCACTTCTCAAACATCCCTCAGTTCCTTACTCCCACCAATTCCACACCCACCATGCACCTCCCGGTCACTCTCAGCTGCAGGAAGAGGCACGAGGCCCTAACATGTGAAGGGGAAACAGTCTGGATCAGCTAGAGCTGCAGTGTGCCTACTGACACTTTGCGATGAGATGTTCTCCATGTGTGCTGTCAATACAGCAGCTACACACTAGCTGAACTGGACAACACAGATCAAGACAGTGTTATAATGATTTTTTTTTCCTTAGTCACTAATTGGATTAGTCTTTTCAATTCCTTTTAAAATAATTTTTTAAGCTATAGCTTTTAATTTAAAAAATTATTTATTTATGGCTGCACTGGGTCTTCACTGCTACTCTCTAGTTGTGGTGTGTGGGCTTCTCTTGTTGCGATGCTCAGGCTTCAGTAGTTGCAGCGCGTGGGCTCAGCAGTTTTGGCACATGGGCTTAGTTTCATGCTCCACAGCATGTGGGATCTTCCTGGACCAGAGATCCAACCTGTGTTCCTTGCATTGGCAGGCAGGTTCTTAACTACTGGACCACCAAGATCTTGATTCTTAAATTGGCATCTCATTGTTATTTTTACCAAATTCCACAGGAAAGAGGGGGGGGAAAAAAAGAGACCCAGACAGAGACAGGCTTAGTTTCTTACTTCATGATGTTTATTATGAGAGTTTTGCCAGTCCTCACCATAGTGCGTTCATCTCCAGCCTTCGCCACACCTCCGTGGAGGGCAGAGAGTCTAGGGCAGGAGAATGGAGTTTGGGAAAACTGGGTCGTTTATACATTTCAGCAGGGAAGGAAACACACATTTTTTATTCTATTGCTTCAAACACGTGTGCCACACAGGTGGTGGGAACGGGAGGTGCACACATGGAGGCCAGGAAGGCAGGGCGTGTGGGCTGGGGCCAGTTTCGGCTGCTGCTCCAAAGGAAACTCAGCCTGGTGCTCAGAACTGGTGCAAATGGGGCCCAGGGCGGCCCTGCTTCTTAGCAGGGGCATGGCCAGTGGGATGTGGATCTTGTGATGCGCTGTTCGGCCTCCCAAACAGGGAGGCCCCATCTCTGTGAACAATGTTGACGGCTCTTACTTTTGTCCCTTCAGACCCTCCATGGCTGGTGTGCCTGGGAGGAGCCTCATGTACATCACCAGCAAGTCAGGCTACAACACAGGCCCCAAACAGCACGATGCTGCGGTTTAAAAAGGATCTCGGCATGTCAAGGACAGGCCACCAGAGCAGTGTCAGTATCGGGTGCTGAAACCTACCCTCGAAGCTGTCAGACTCTGGGGTCGTGGTGAATCTGAAAGCCCCCAAGGAGGACAGGATACAGGGCGCTCTCCCTGTGTGTCTTCAGCATGCAGTGCTGGGGACTCCGCCTGTGGGTTCTGGGGCCCTATGGGAGACGGGGTCTCCCCTGAACAAGGGCTCCCCCAAGTTTGGTGGTGAGTTTTGTCACGACTCCTGCGCCCCAGCAGCATTCTCGGCTGTCCCCGAGCCCCGCACAAGCACACCTAACATCGTCATTGTCAGTTTCTGATCTGATCGTTTCCCGTGTGCAGCAGGGATCCCCCTATCACCCACGTCCCAGCGCAATTCTCCAACTCTTTCAAAACAAAGCTGGAGAACGATGGCCAGGCCAAAGTGGGCGGACGACATGGGCTGGAAAGAGAAAGGCGCCCCAAGCATGAAGCACTCTGCTCAGCAAGCCTAAACCAACCTGCTCTGGGGGGCTGGAGGATGAATCTGGAGCAGGAGCCTCTGCAGACATCTGCCAAGAGGTCACAACCCAGGGCAGCCCACCCTGAGAGCTACTGTCACACTCGGCCCTGAGAACGATGCTCTTCTCAGCTTCTGGGCATGGAGTGTATGGTCCAAGGAGATTCTATTTACAACACATGTGACAGTCCGTTATCAATGTATTCCTAGAAATCAGGACTTCCTCTTGCTTCTCATTTTACCTTGTTCAAAATTCCTGGTGTCAGGAAAATGGGAGAGAAAGCCTGGGTGGAGCAGTGAGGGGAGAGATAAAGGAAGAAAATAAATAGAAAGAGAAGGAGACTGAAAAATCAAGAGTTGATTGGGGACACGGGTGAGGGGATGCAGGGTCAGCAACTACGAAGTGACCAGCGTTACCTAGAGGGCGGACCCGTCTGGCCTCTGCAGTCAGAGGGGCTCTGGGGCTTCTCTGCTCAAGGGACTCCAGGCAGCCGAGCTGAAGGCTCCTGTGAAGTCCTACGTGCATCCTAATGGAAAACTGAATAAAGAACCCCCAGGAGGGTTTCAAACACTTGAGATAAGTTTCCATATTTGGGTGACTGGAATGCAAAGGCAGGATGGTGCCCTTCCCATCTCTTTCTGTCCAAGCAGGTATCCAATTCTCCGAAACTGCCTGCAACATAATGGTATAAAAGGTGTAACTAATTCCTTTTTCTATCAAAAATCTGGCAACGTCAGAACACAAGTCTGAATAATTCAGAAATGTTCCAGGGCTCAAGGGAGCCAGTGTCCAAATGGGGAGACACCTGGTGGTGGCAGCAGTCCCGATCCCCAAGGCCAGGGCTCTCCCCTCTGGGGTGGCCGAGCTGTCCGCCGCTCAGTCCTCAGCCTGCTGGGCTCAGGTGTCAGCCGGGTTGACCTCTTTGGAGCAGAAGTAATGCACGACCACCCCATTGGGGTATCTTGCAAATGCGCTGCAGGGAAGGAAAATGACCTAGGAGTGAGGACTGCCTCTAAGAGAAGACAAGTTCTTACTGGAAAAGGCACTTTACCAGGAGCCACCCCAGAAGCTACCTACTCTAACCATAAAGGGCAGTGTGGCCACCATCTCGGTCACATATCTGAACAGAGGATGAGGTCCACGCCATTCAATTGCATGGGGAATTTTTTTTTTTTAATTTATTAAATAAAAAAAAATTTACTGAAATATAGTTGATTTATAATGTACCCATCTCTGCTGTATAGCAAAGTGACTGAGCTATGCACATATACACCTTCTTCTTTTATATTCTTTTCCATTATGGTTTATGCCAGGAAATTGGATATAGCTCACTGTGCCATACACTAGGACCTTGTTTATCCATTCTAAATGTAATAGTTTGCATTTATCAACCCTAAACTCCCAGTCCATCTCACTCCCTTCCCCACTGCCCTCTGGTAACCACAAATCTGATCTCTATGTCTGTAGGTCTATTTCTGTCTTGTAGATAAGTTCATCTGTGCCAGATTTTAGATTCCCCACTGAAGTGGTACTTGTCTTTCCTCTTTCTGACTTATTCCACTTGGTATGATAGCCTCCAGTAGCAGGGGATATTTCCTACTGTCAGCAGAGTGTAACACACAGCCAGACAGAGCAATGCACCAGCCTGGCTCAGCAGCGGCTTACTGAGCGCCAGCTGCTCATCAGAACAAACTGTGGGCTAACTCTAACAAAGGGCAGTGGGTCTTTCTGAACGAAAGCATTCTTCCAGCCCTAGAAGTAAAAGGACAAATCACTTCCTTGGAGGAAGCAGCACTAACTAGAGTATATGCCTTAAAACAGAATGATGCTGCTTCAGGATTTTACTCAGGAGGCAGCAGGCTGAAAGACCTTTTTCTTCTTTCAGAGGTGTATCTTTAAAAGATAAGGACCTCCTGCTCACATACAGCTCTCAAACACCCCGTGGTACATGTCAATGTTAAGCAACCGGAGGAGAAGGGCTTTATGAGCAAGAAGTCAAGAGCCCCCTACTACACATTTCAGGCCTTTAAATTCTCAAAGCACCCCCACCCCACAGATACACCAGAAAACACGGCCCGCCCTCTGGAGGCTCAAGCACTAAAAGTGGCCCAGATAGCTCTCAGCTGCTCTTTCCTCTTGGGTTAAGGGGCGGAAATCTACCCTGAGCAAGCTATGGGTGAGACTCACCTGTTCCCAATCTTCTTCTTACACACCATGCACACCTTCTCCTCCGTGATGATGCACTTCACCTGCTGGTGTAGAATGCGCTCTTCCTGGACCTGGGAGCAGAGAGAGTGGCGGGGAGGTCCCGCTGTCTGGCAGGGACAGGAGGAGGGGCCGGCACTGTCTCACCTCCCAGCCCACAGGGGCTCCCTAACTGAAACACCTGTGGCTACATGCCCAGCTGGTTACCAATCAGTTTGAGCCACAGAGTTACAAAGCAGCCAGCTCTGCCTCTGTCTCAGGGGACAGGCTTAAGGCAACGGCCTTAAGCGAGGCTTAAGTGGGAGTGGCAACGGCCTCGCACGTGAAAGGACAAGCCTTCACTTGCATCGGGAAGGCGCGTACCCTCAGGAACTCTGCATGGAGAAGGTTCTTGAGCACTTGGTTGAACCGTTTCTTCTGGGCATTCTCTTCTAAGACCTTCTCCAGAAAGATGCGTATGTCGTTAATCTGAGTGTTCGCGGGCAGCAGGTTGATGGCCTGGGGACGGGAAGAGAGACAGGAACAAGGAGAGGTGGGACAGGAGTGAGACGGAGGAAACGCCTGACATCATGGAGCCCTCAGACCCCCTCCCTCCTGCCAGCCCCTCCTGTGGTTCCACACTCCCCATTTGCGCCCTCTGACTCTGCGAGGAGAGCTGTTGACCTTGGTGGTGTCCAGCTTGCTGTGGTGTAGCTCCAGGACCTGCAGGGCGGCTTGGAGGTTGGCTTGTGGCTCCAGCAGTTCCAGCTTGATTGGCCCCAGGCAGTGCACGCTGGGGGGTGACAGGTACATCCGGAGCAGGGACAGATACACCTGTCTCATACACAACAAGCCACGCACGCGTCAGGCCGGCAGCAACCCTCCCCAAACCCTCAGCGTGACCATACTTAAAGGCAAGAGGGCTGGTCTGGAGGAACTTTAAAACGCAGTATTTTTCACCTTTTAATAAATTTTGTAAAGTCCGTTGACTGAAGATGTCAAAAATTAAAGGTTGTGTGGGACTTCCTGGGTAGTCCAGTGGCTAAGATGCCACACTCCCAATGCAGAGGGCCCAAGTTTGATCCCTGGTCAGGGAACTAGATCACACATGCTGCAACTAAGAGTTCATAAGCCACAACAAAAGATCCTGCACGCTGCAGTGAAGATCAACGATCCCAAGTGCAGCAACTAAGACCGGGTGCAGTCAAATAAATAGAAATAAATTATTAAAAAAATTAAAGATCATGTTCTTTCTGAGAGAGAAAAAAGAATCAAATGCCTTGTATTGTTTAGCATTATACTGTTAACAAAATGACTCCAAGAGACCCCTCATTTCCTTTGGCTTTGAAGGCTGAGACTCTGCCACGTATAAGCCGGTAAGGATGAGCCCAAGATGAGATGCTGCATCTCCTACTGGACCCACACCACAGTGTTTCTCAGCCTCTCACTCAATATTCTGGGCTGTGCTGTGCATTGATAAGCAGCAACTCTGGCCTCTACCTCCTAGATTCGGGGAGCAAACCCCACCCCCCACCACTGCCACCAGTGGCCATGTAAAGTATCTCTACACATTGACAGATCCACATGGAATTTATGCAGAGCACACGTGGGCACCTTGTAAGAACCATCAGATGTTCCTTCTCAACAGGCTGACCAGGAAATTTATTGTACAAGTTGAGACTGTCTTAAGAGTAAAGCAGCAGGGGCACTACAAATAATCACACGGATGACAACGGACTACGCCAGAGCTACCCCGAGCAAACCAAGACTTCGGTCACCCTGCCGCTCTCTCAGCACGGGTGCGCAAAATCAATCAGTTCCCTAACCCATGCCCTGTCATGTCAGCAATTCCTGCCAGTGTCACCTGTGGCCCAAACCAGAGGGCGCTAGCTATGTTAAGAGGGGCAGTGCAGTGCGTATGTGCTCCCTGGGGCCAACTACTTACATCTTTGTTGCCATCTTTGTTTTGGTCATAATGCTTGTGGCAGTACCTGTAAGGGAGAGAGTGATCAGACAAGGTCACATGTAGAGAAAGGGCATGGATGCTGCCTGAGCAGCCTAATGACAGCACAATCGGGGGCCGGCACACGAGGTGACCTCGCTTCAGCTGCAAGTGCAGGGGTGGCTTTCTCAGCCTCTCATCTCTCTGCAGGGCCTCTTTTAGACCCTTGGGAGGTGGGATGGCAGGGTCGACGTACTCTTCAGCCATCCTTGTGTCTTTCAGGATGTGCACGTAGATGAAGAGAGCTTGTTCGTGTTTCCCCATGCGTCCCAGCAGGAGAGCACGTTCTTCCAAGAGGCCTGGGGGCGGGGGGGTGGAAAGAGTGTAAGAAACCATCACCATGACCAGGCAAGCCCAAGGCCAGGGGCTAAGCTATTAGAGGGATGGATATTGGGAAAAAATATTTTTATTACTCGGGATCTTTTTCAAGGAGAAAATTACTAAAATTTTTAAAAGGGAGGAGGGAGGGGACTAGTTTAGGTAGTATTTTATCTCATCTTTTTCTGTGATCATTTCTAAATGGAAGAACAATACCTGACCATCAGCTAAATGCATAATAAGCACTTACAATGTGCCAGGCGCTTCAGCCAAGGGAAGCAGACACCTGGTCTCTGCTCTCATGGAGCTTATACATCAGCCAGACTTACGTCTTTTTCAGACAAATTATTCCAGATTACAGAAACTGCTAAACAAGGAACTTGGCCAACAAGTACTGAAGCAACAAACAGGTTTCAACCTGGTTAACAATTAGCATGTGGTTCACACCCAAAAGAGACTTCTCTTAATCATGGTTCAAAAGTGAGTCTTCAGAGAGGACAGAATAGGAGCACAGGCCTGAAACACATGGTTTTTCCCAGGCCCAACTTTTGGGAGGGCTGGGGAACTGGTATAAGGGAAGGATCCATTTTTGCATTATCTCCTGCTAAAGTGGCTCTGGACCTAAGCCAGACACCCACCATCAAAAGGAAAATCACAGATGAGCCGGCCTGGGTCATAGTAGCTGGAAATTTCCAAGAACATAAGGAGCTTCTGTCGGTATTCTCCCAGCTCTCCTTCCTCTTCACCAGCAGGGACTGGAGCTTTGCCTTTAAAAGAAACCATGCTCAACATGAAAGGATGCTGTTAGGCAGCAATGTGTGGTGTCATCAAGAAAAAATGAAGGGGATGGGGTTCAATGTCACCGCCATGATTAGAAAGCGCCTCCATGATGCTTTCCAGTAGGCCTTCTCTTAGTTTATGGTCTCAGTATGGCCCCAAAACATCAGCTTGAGAAAAAAAGCCCACCAAGCTGCTTAGAGAAGCACTCTGGTAGACAAACCTGTTCCTTATCAGCTCAGCTGTCACTCTGCATACAGATCTACTCCCCCTCCTCCATAGGTGATGCCCAGGGAGGCTCAGAGATGCCCAGATCCAGACACCAGCCCCCAAGTCTCACCTGTAGGGTCGCTTAGCTGCCTTGGGGCCTCCGAGGCTCTTCCTGCCCACCCGGGCCTGCAGAGAAAGTCTGCTTCTCTACCCCACCCATGGTCCCCTCGGGTCCCAGCTCACCTCTAAGGCCTGGGGCCACCCTGCATGCCGCGAACTGGTACCTGCAGGGAAGGACAGGAGATACTCCTTCATCAGACCTTGCACCTTCTCGCAGTACAGCTGGATCAGGCAGTTGTGGAACCGAGAGCCGGTCTCCTCCCAAACGTGGATGACATGTTCCTGGGGAGAGATACAGGTCTGCCTGGTACCCTCCGTGCTGCGGCATGGCCCAGCCCATTCATCCAGGCTCCCTCACATTTTTAAGGCCCAAAAGGTCCCATCCAGATTGTCCCCTAATTAAGATTACCATGGGATAGTTCTCCTACAACCCAGCAATATCAGGAATTAGCGTCTCAATTTCCAATCTAAGCTCCTTTATTAATTCTGTCTCATAATCATCCAAATCAGCCCATGCAATTAAGGTTAAATAGTTACATTTTGGTACTTAGGACTGATTTAGTCATCCTGCGGTCACAGTTAAGTCTGGCTGTACAAATGTGGCTCTGATATGTTTTTCTCCAACAGTTTCTCTCCTTCTCTTTTATCTCTCTGTACGTCACCTAGGTTTAGAAGGTAGCATGAAAAAGCTTGGTCTACTGGGCTGTCTTCAGAGAAGACTAAAAGAACCCTCTTCTTTTACAGTCCTTCCAATCTCCAAGGGACACAAACCCTAATCTGAACTGGCTAATCACTGTCTCTTGTGGTCATAGATCCTGGGTTTGACTGAAACTTTTTAGTTCAGATCAAAAAATATCTTACCAGGTAAGGAATAGCCAGACCCTTAAAATTCTCCACTAAGAAGCCCAGCACTCGGTCTCGTGGCAGAGCCTCCACCTCTGGGAGGTCCTCAGTAAATATCTGTTGGAATAAAACCTGAGTTCCAGCAGCAGAACCACCTGATGGCAATCCTTCCAAACACACATGCACACAAGCACAGGGTCACATGGACAGACACTGAGGCGGGAAGGGCATCTGTGGCCAGTCGGTGTGGGGCAGACTAGGTCCCCTGGCATCCACACCAGGCTCTTTCTACTGCACTCCACCGCTGTCCCATGTGTCCCAATCTTGGAAACACCAGAGAACTGCACAAACCCTTCCTACCCCTCCACCCACAACTGTCTAAAATAAAATCAGAACCGACCATGGTACCCAATAAATCCAAGGGACTCTGTGATCCTACCTTCAGGCCATCCTCTGGAAAGTCTCTCAGCACCCACACTGAGTAGGAAAAAATTAAATGCAGATTTTCTGTGCCTAGAGGGAAAAGGAAGACTTGTCAGCAGGTGAAGTCCACCCACTCTGCCCACAGGACCAGGAAGGCAGGTGCCCAGGTTGCCCAGGATTTATCATCCAGAGAAGTTAGCTCTGTCCAGTCACTCAGGGATGCTTGGACCTACCAGACTGGCTACACACCAAGGGGCTGTTGTGGTCCCACCACTGGGGGGACTTTCATCCCCGGAGGAACCCAGCTGGGTGAACGAACACAAGGGAGGGAGGGGAATGACCAGCCAGAATCAGGAAGGGAGAGAGGTCAGGTTCACTTGAACACAATCCCCTCCCCTTGCTCCTTCCAGGGGCTGGACTCACCCAGATGTTGCAGGTACTGCACTGTCCGCTCATGGCCTTTCAGAGGGGAATTTGCTTTCTTGGACTGGTCCACCAGCACCTGCAGAGCTGGCCATGAAGCCCAAGAATAAGGTCATGAGCCCCTTCTAGAAGGCGTATCTCCTTGGAGAGTCATCACACTGCACACAGCTTTCAGAAGGAAAGAGGGCTTTGCAGCAGGCCCCTCTGTCTTGCCTCTAATGTTAAACCAGGCACCTATACACTTACTTATCTCCAGCTCTCGCCCACCTTCCAGATCTTGTGATCACAAAGTACTTTGCCTAACTTGTTTCTTTCAAAGAAGTAGAAATGCAGACTAAGTAAAAACAGATGACCAGATCGCCTCCCTAGCTTCCCCTTCAGCGATCCTGTGAACAAGATAGTGGCTAAAGAAAAATCACAAGAAGTCTACATGCCCACACACAGTGTGGGGTGGGGGGACTCTGACTCTCTATCCCCAAAGCTTTCATGGCTGAGCTTTGAAAATCTTCAGATGGGTTTTTGGGGGACTCTGGGTCTACCATCTCCCCAGATTGCCAGCATTCTCATTAAAATCAACTTTCCTTTGTAATATTTGCCTCTCTCTTGTGTATTGATTTTCAAGCAGTGAGCAGCTGGATGTGATTCAGTAACAACAAACACCTCAGTAGGTTTCCCCCTGTCAAAATACAAGAGACCCTCTAATCACAGGTGACCCCTGCCCCAGTTACCTTTCTCGTGGAGCCCCTTCTTCTCGTACAGGATGATCAGCTCGCTGTACTTGTGAGCCTTCTTCAGCACGTGCTCGCTCTCTTCAATGTGGCAGTGATTGTTCTCCAGACGGAGCAAGGGGGCCACGAGGGCCACGTTCGTCTGCAAGAGAGGCAGGACTTCAGCAGGAACTACTTCCTGGGGAGGCCCATCCTCTCTCAGCCCAGGCCTGCTTCAGGCTGAAACACCAGGCGTGTTACACAAGCAAGAGAGAGCAATCAACCCTTTCCAGGACTACAGGTAGGAGCTTTCATAGCATTTATGCTCTTTCACACAAAGTTTTTTAAGAGTGTGTGTGTGTGTAAAACTCACGTGAAGGTAGCACTTGAGCAGGGTGGTGTCAATGATCTGCAGCAGCTTCCTCTTAGACTTGATGGTAGGGGTCCCTTCCACGAGAGGCGAGGTGCTAGACTGGTGGTCAGAGTCATTCAGCTTCTTTACCAACTGGCTTCGTTTCTGCCAAGGGCAAAAATGCAGGGTCAAGGCCAGGCTTAAAGCTTCCTTTATCATCTGAGCTACCGGGCAATTCCGAATACCTTCAAATCAGCTCGCACCTATCCACCCTGATCCCACATTGGCATTTATCAGGGATCAAAAATAGATGCCTACCAAACCACCAGATACAGTAATGATGATCTACTGAGTATTTACTACACACTAGGCACTGTGTCATGCAATTTATAGATTTATCCTATTTTACAACTAAAACAAATACAGGTATTATTAGCCCCATTTTATAAGTGAAGAACCCAAGGCACAGATGTTAGCTACCTCATTAGTAACAGAGGCCGACTTCAAATTAGGGTCGGATTCCAAAGGGCATGTTTTTATTTTTTTTTAATCAACTTTATTGAGGTATGAGTTACATGCAATAAAATGTACCCCTGAAAAGTATACTATCAGATGCACTTTGACAGATAGATACATGCATGTAGCCGCCACCCCAATCAAGGAACAAAACATTTCTATTACCCTTTAAAGTTCCCTTGTGCTCCTCCCAAAGAATCTCACCCATTCCCTACACAACTGATCTGACTTCTATCACTAATGATTACTCTTTCCCTATTTTAGAACTTCAAATGGGCTTTCCAGGTGACTCAGTGGTAAAGAATCCACCTGCCAATGCAGGAGACACAGGTTTGATCCCTGGGTTGGGAAGATCCCCTGGAGGAGGGCCCACTCCAGTATTCTTGCCTGGAAAATCCCATGAGCAGAGGAACCTGGTGAGCTACAGTCCTTGGGGTGGCAAAGAGTCAGACTGACTTAGCAACTAAGAACGCATGCTTTCTAAAACTGCATATAAATGGAATCATTCAATTTGTACTATTTTGTGTCTGGAATGCCCATGGTCTTATTTGTTCTACCATCTCGCTGGCACAAGGCTGGTATCAGTTACCTCCACACATTCCAAACTCAATGGAGAAGGTCAGGGAAGACTGTGCTCGGGGTCCTAAAGCTAAGATACTGGAACTAGAGGGTCTTCTGTGATGCCACATGCTTGGGACGCTTTCTGCCCCGGGAGCCTTTTCACTTGGCTCATGGACTGTGCAGTGTGCAGACAGAGGCAAGCCGGTGCACTCTGTGCAGGCTGCCAGCCAACCATGGAGCCCGATGTCAAGCAAGTGCCAAGACGACAGATGCCTGGGTGGACCTGTGGGACACCCACTGACCCAGAAGCAGGTGGTGGGTAGTTGGCTTACAATTTTCCTAGCAATACTTATGCCCCTCCAGGATACCCCTTACAAGTCTGCAGAACACTTATGGGAAAAAATTTTAATAAGTTCTCTGACTCTGAGTCAGAAAGGATGACATGGCTAGACAGCATCACCAGCTCAATGGACATGAATTTGAGCAAACTCCAAGAGATAGTGAAGGACAGGGAAGCCTGCCGTGCTGCAGTCCACATGGTTGCAGAGTAGGACATGACTTAGCGACTGAACAACAACTGACTCTGAATGGGTGCCCAGGAAATAAATTATAGCCTTAAGCACGGAAATTTAGGGTTCAGAGACATCAATGGAGATATCAGTTTTAGTGCTGATCTGAAAATTTTACTTATCTGTCTGTAACAGTAAACTGGAAATAATTTAAGTCTAAATACTCCCTCTAAAAAAACATGTTATAGAAGAATACTTAATGACAGGGAAGGACTTTCCTAATATATGGCTAAATGCTTTAAAAGTAAGCTATGAAACAGTATATATCTTGATATCCATTTGCAATTTTAAAAATCTGATAAATAAATAAACAAAAATTATTCACAAGTACATATAAAACTCTGGAAGGACAACACTAAAATGTTAGTTACTTTTCTCTGAGTGGTAGGAGCAATGAGTGATTTTTTATTTTTATTTTATACTTTTCTGTATTTTCCAAGTTTTCTGTGTAGAGCAGGTATTTTTTTCCCAAAAGTGTAACTGTTCCCCAAAAGTTCTTTAAAACGCTTATTCTTTTCAATCAATCAAACTTTTCTCTTTTTAGTTCCTATAAGAGCTTAGTGTGAATCTACCAGGAACAGAGTATGCTTCCTGGTACCAGGATTTGGCAAAAAAGAGCTCTATTCTATTGTTATAACCCAACAGCAAATGCAGGAGACCTAAGAGACATGGGTTCAATCCCTGGGTTGGAAAGATCTGTGAAGGAAGAAATGGCAACCCAGTCCAATATTCTTGCCTGGAGAATTCCATGGACAGAGGAGTCTGGCGGGCTACAGTCCTTGGGGCTGCAAAGACTGAAGTGACTTAGCAAAATATGCTTCTACTGTTAAGCAAGGAGGTGAAACAGAAAAAATGTGCCCCCCCTCAGACTTCTGCAGTGTTCACTTGTGGACCATCTGTGGCATTACAGAAGTCTCCCCCTTCCCTGCCACAGAGAAGCAGGTACTGAAACTCCCAGGCGAACTCTTCCATATACTTTGGTATCACACCTACCTGGGTCAGGTAGTCAATCAGAGCTAAGTGAGCCTTCTCCAGCTCAGCCCCAGACAGCACAGGCAGTGGGTTAGGATACTGCAGCTGCTTCCTGTAGTCTGTGGGCAGCAGGTCTGGGTACAGGCCCATCACATGGGTAGGATCTACATGGAAGGTGAACACGATTCCCCAGATAGAAGTACAGCAATTTAAAGATAAACTAAAACGAGACTATCACTACAAGTAAGTTCCAGATTGACTTTTTTTTTAAATCACTCTTAAGTTCATAAAAACTCAAGCTATACACATATATTTTGAACACTAAAACATTACAATGATTGCAAGACTCTAAGACATATATAGAATTAAAAATGAAAATTCATTAACTCACTAAAAGCAAAGAAGAAAAAGGAAAACCTGGTAAGACAGTGAAGTTGAAAAGATCACTAGACTTAAAAAATAAAAAGTGTGTGTGTCCGTGTGTGTGTGTGTGTGTGTAAAGGAATATTAGTAAAACAAAAACACCAGGCAACAGGCTATGGAATACACTGGTAGCATATATGGCAGAAGCTAATAGGCTGATTATATGAAATTAATTCACACAGTTTGGCTTAAAAAAACATAGGATTTCATTTGATTAATGGACAACAGACATGGATAACTGACAAGAGAATAATGCAAGTAAGGGGGAAAATCTAATCCTGGCCAACCAGATTCCTCTGATCTTGAGAAACAGATTTAAGGATGACAAGCAATATGGCACACACCAACATGTACCCAACCTGACACGCTTCTTTTACGTAATGTTGACACCCCTCCACCATGAGGAGTGTGTGTTCTTTTGCCCTAACTTGGAAAGCCCTTGTAAATCAACAGAACATGGGGAGAAGTGATCACCTTAAAAGGCACTAAAGCTTCCGGCTAGGTCTCTTGGATCACCAACTCCAGGAAAAGCCAGTCACTCTGCATAAGGACATTCAAGCAACCCTAGAGAAGCCTGCACACCACAACAAAGACCCAGAGTAGCCACACACAAAAAAAAAAAACCTACTGTTGTATCCTTCTAGGCTCAAGTCAGTGACTTTTGTCTAGAACTGCAGTCAGTAATCTGATTACTAGATGATAAAACACATGTCTGTTGTCTTCAATGACTTTGTTACCTTCCTCTAATGGCAAGAGCAAAGCATCCTGGAAAACTGGAAGTCTGTGTATGTGGATGAGACCAGAGTCATAAGATCAGGGCTGTAAATAGATAGTCACATGGCCACCCACAGGATCCTGTTAAGTACAAGGATCAATCTAGATGAGGTTAACTTTCCCCATTCTCGGAAGTCTGATATCATTTCTCCCCATTCTTTCCAGCTTTTCCTCCCTCTGTTTAGTTGCTCATCCCGAGGCCATACCCCCTTGTTACCTGTGCCAAGTTTAGCAAAGACCTGCATGGACTCATCGAAACGCTTCTGGCAGAAGAGGTTGAAGGCATACAAGTTCTTGATGTGATGGATCTGTTGCTGCTTTTCACTGTCGGAATCATCTTTCATTTCCTGAAAAGAGAGTAAAATAGGTAGGCGCTCACTCACTCAACCAATATCTACCAGGTATCAGACGATATCCTGGAACATGTATATGCCACAGGGTATAAAGCAGTCACATGGCTCTGACCTCAGAGATTGCCCTTACAGTCTAATCTTAAGTAACTATGCAATTAAAACACAACAGGACTTCTACAAAATACCTGACCAGTACTCCTGAAAATCATCAGGATCATGAAAAACAAGGGAAGACTAAGAAATTTCCACAGGTCAGAGGACACTAAGAATGTGTGCCACCTAAATACCTTGTGATTTCTGGATTTGAACCTGGAACAGAAAAAGGGACAATTAATGGGAAAACTTAGTGAAATCTGAATAAAGTTTAGGGTTTAAAGAAAAAAAATCAAAACAAAGCAGAGTGAGTGATGCTAGAACCACGTGGGTGGGGTGTTCAGGTCAGCCCAGTGTGAACAGTGGGCTGTTCAGGAAGGTTCCCAGGAGGAATGTAAGCTGAGACACAAAGGTGAGCTGGAGCTGGCCAGGTGAGGTTGGCAGGTGACAGATGGGGGAGGGGAGGACACCTGATGCCTAGAGGACAGCACTGTGCAAGACCCTAAAATGACAGACAGAGAGCATGGCGTGCTCCAAGGATGGAAGATGTTTAACATAGCTGGCATGATTGGGAAAGGCCCTGTTCACAGCATAAGCCAAATATCTGTTTCTTCCTTTAACCATCCCCCTCTGATATCCTTCTTAGCCAATCTTTACCACATTTAACTTCTTCCTTCAAAATGTCTCTCCACGTTTTCCCTTCCTTTTTTTTCCTCTTCTGTCGCTGTCACCCCAATCCAGGCCACCATCAGCACGTGGCTGCGCTTGGGCTAAGCACTCCTGTTTGGTGCTTTAAAGGCTCTCAAAGCCTGGCACAGTCTCCTTACCTAGGTTATTTCCACACATTCAAGCCACACCCTCCATGCCAGTCACAATGGACTCCAAGTGCCCTGGAAATACTCGTTTCCACACTTGTTTTCACTCATAACTTCCCCAGGCTCTGTAACTCTCCCTGTTTCAAGCTCCTGGTCTGACTTATCTTTAAAGAGTCCAACCTTAGGATTCTTTTTCTGGCCTAATAGCAAAGTTCAGTATGTAACTGCCCTCTGAAAGTTTCGTGTATGTCCTCTGATTAATTTAAAGGAGAGACAGGTTCCTCAAGAGCCAAGATGGTATCAAGCAACCTTCTTTTGTCATAGAGCAGAACACCTAGTAAGTACAGGCCTAGAGAAGAGAAGGGAAAAAAGCAAACCCACTTTTTTCTTCTCTACCGAAGATGAAACAGACAACCAGCAGCAGAAAGAACACTGAAAAGCCATTCCTGTTAAGAAAAATGGATGCTAAAAAAGCCATGTGCTACATAATACCTTTTTCATAAAGCTCAAAAACTAGACACATACTCAAGCACACAAATATATGTAAAATACTATCAAAAAAAATTTTAGGGGCTTGTTAACCCCAAGGTTTCCTTTAGGAGGCTTTTTTTATGTCTCCTTGCTATTTTCTGGAACTCTGCATTCTGTTGGGTATATCCTTCCCTTTCTCCTTTGCCTTTTGCTTCTCTTTTCTCATCTACTCGTAAGGCTTCCTGAGACAACCACCTTGCCTACTTACATTTCTTTTTCTTGGGAATGGTTTTGGTCACCACCTCCTATACAATGTTACAAACCCCCGTCCATAATTCTTCAGGCACTCTGTCTACCAGATCTAGTCCCTTAAATCTATTCATCATCTCTACTGTATAATCATAAGGAATTTGACTTAGGTCATACCTAAATGGCCTAGTGGTTTTCCCTACTTTCTTCAATTTGAGTCTGAATTTTGCAATAAGGAGCTGATGATCTGAGCCACAGTCAGCTCCAGGTCTTGTTTTTGCTGACTGTATGGAGCTTCTCCATTTTTGGCTGTAAAGAGTATAATCAATCTGATTTTGGTATGGACCATCTGGTGATGTCCATGTGTAGAGTCGTCGTTTGTGTTGTTGAAAGAGGATGTTTGCTATGATCATTTTGCATTCTCTTGGCAAAACTCTGTTAGCCTTTGCCCTGCTTCATTTTATACTCCAAGGCCAAACTTACCTGTTACTCCAGGTATCTCTTTACTTCCTACTTTTACATCCCAGTTCCCTATGATAAAAAGGACATCTCTTTTGATGTTAGTTCTAGGAGGTCTTGTAGGTCTTCATAGAACCATTCAACTTCATCTTCTTCAGCATTAGTGGTTGGGGCATAGACTTGGATTACTGTGATGTTGAATGGTTTGCTTTGGAAATGAGCCTAGATCATTCTTTCATTTTTGAGACTGCAATCAAGTACTGTATTTCGGATTCTTTTGTTGACCATGAGGGGTACTCCACTTCTTCTAAGGGATTCTTGCCCACAGTAGTAGATATAATGGCCATCTGAATTAAATTCGCCCATTTCCGTTGTCGGACACAACTGAGCAACTAATATTCCTGTCCATTTTAGTTCACTGATTCGTAAAATGTCGATGTTCACTCTTGCCATCTCCTGTTTGACCACATCCAATTTACTTTGATTTATGGACCTAACATTCCAGGTTCCTATGTAATACTGCTTTTTATAGGATTGGACTTTACTTTCAACAAGAGATATAACCACAAGTGGGCATCATTTCCGCTTTGGCTCAGCCTCTTCATTCTTTCTGGAGCAATTTCTCCACTCTTCCTCAGTAGTATATTGGACATCTACTGACTTGGGGGGTTCATCTTTCAGTGTCATATCTTTTTGCCTTTTCATACTGTTCATGGGATTTTCAAGGCAAGAATACTGAAGTGGTTTGCCATTCCCTTCTCCATTAGTCATGTATGGATGTGAGAGCTGGACCATAAAGAAGGTTGAGTACCCAAGAATTGATGCTTTCGAACTGTGGTGCTGTAGAAGACTCTTGAGAGTTCCTTGGACAGCAAGGAGATCAATTAATCCTAAAGGAAATCAACCCTGAATATTCACTGGAAGCACTGGTACTGAAACTAAAGCTCCAATACTTTGGTCACCTGATGTGAAGAGCCAACTCATTGGAAAAGACCCTGAGGCTTGGAAAGACTGAGAGCAACAGAACAAGGGGATGACAGGATGAGATGATTGGATGGCATCACTGACTCAATGGACATGAATTTGAGCCAACTCAGGGAGATGGTGAAGGACAGGGAAGCCTGGCGTGCCGCAGTTCATGGGGTCTCAAAGAGTCGGACACGACTTAGCGATAAAACAACAACAAAACGCAAAGTTAGGATAATGGCTGTGTCTGGAGCATAGGAAGAGGGATGGGATGGGGAGGGATGTACCGGTTACAGTAGTTATTTTTGGGGGGGTTAGGTGGTGGGTTTATGGGTACTCATTATTTTAAAAATGAAAACAAAATAATTTAGGGCAATAAACGAGTAGGGAAAAAAACAATAAGATGCTAAAATTAAATGGCCCAAGAAAGAAACAATCTATGGGATAGTAAATGTGTCTAACTAATTAAGACTGGATTTTTGTTTTCAGTCTAGGACTTATACACCCAAAATAAAAGTTCCTCTTCAAAAGTATCCACCACATATGATTACAATCATTTGTATTCCAAAATTTATGATCACTGTCTCCCTTTCAGAAATAATTTATAAGATACTCTAAAAACCAAGTTTTCCTACTATTACTTATATAACAATCACTTCTCTTACTAAATTAGCACTGTCTGGTTTTAATGACTAAGTGAGGCTCAGGATGACTTTCAGTTGTTTCATAAATTCAAATTCACTCTTTCAAGATGACAATAATCACCACTAGGGATGTTTAAAAGAATAAGGAAAGACTTGAAAGTCAATCTTCAAGAAGCATGTTGGCAATAAGAGCATCACTGCAAGAAGAGCATGGTCACTACTCAGCCAAGAGTGTGAGTAACGTCCCACGCGAACATTCAAGGAGAGTGACAGTATGAAGACTGGGGCCCTGCTGAAGGCAGCAACCTGAGGTGGGTTCAAAGTACCTAAAGAAGGCCTTCTTATCCAAGCCCAGGAGCCTACTTGTGAAAGGGACTCTGAGAGGCTTTGGAGCTGTTGCATTCAACCAAACTATAACCTTGACAATGACGATTGTTATTTTGCTGTTTGTATTGTCTTTAATTTTTCAAGGCCATATCATATCTATTCAATTATTTTACTGTCCTATTAATTCAATGAAATACTATTAGTATAATTGGCATTCATTCTACATTTGACAGAGACAGTGAGATTACTTAGAGTTACACAGATACTTTTATGGCAGGGTCTGATCCTGAATCCAAGCCCTTCGACTTTCAGCTCTGTGCTTACTCCTCCAGTCCAAGCAAAACATGAACATCTAAACCAAAATCACCTCCCTTGAAGAGGGACGAGGAAGGCAAACTCACATCCACATATCAGAAACAAAGACTTACTGCGAGCTGCAAAGCCAATTCAAACTGCTTGTCCTGGAGAAGCTGTTGGATTTGTGTCGCCATGGGGACTGGAATGAGTCTCCAGACAAAGTGATTGCTGGCCACATAGATAATGTTTGATCTGGAGACAGGGGTAAGAGAATTAGCAAGAGAGGGCCAGCTTTATGATGACCCAGATGACTTTAAAGTTTTGGAATAAGATGACAGCTCCAGTAAAGAAAGGAATTTCTTACCCGCCCGAGGTAATAAAACGGGGTCTTTGCAGTTCAATGCTCTGGACCAGAAGCCTCGGCTCAAATGTTCGGATTTCCACATATCGAGGCAACACTGCAATGATGTAGGGAGGCTGGTGCTCTGCACGAGAGAGAACATGTTGAGTTGAGGTTCTCTCTAAGGCTTTAGGTTTATAGACGTTTCAGCTTCTCATTTCTAAGCTGCACTTGGATCTCCAAATGGTCCACTAGTCAAATACCAAGCCAGGATCCTATACTGTGATATACAAAAAAAAAAAAAAAAAAAAAAATTGCCTGTCTCAGTGATGCTAAGAGAAATCTTAAGGATGTATCTTAGCTTTGCTCAGTGACCAGACTCCATTCCTACTGTTTTGCTGAGAGGACTGGGTGAAAGAGTCAGAAGCTCCTTTCTCATCAATCACAAAGCCAGGCCAAACCAAGGCCAGTGGCAGCTTCCCTAACGAGTCAGTCAGAGAACAAGGTGACATAATTTCTTTCGTCCTCTTAGGAAAGGCAAGAGGAGGACAACTTCTTTTTATTTTTTCCTGAAAATTATTCTGAAGAGAGAAATCCACATTTCTGGTCTATGCTATCTCTGCTTGAGATCATCACATTGAAAAGATGCAAAACTCCACGTGATGCTCAATGGTTCACAGAGAAGGCAGCTGGATGGCATGCTCAGTGTAACCATTTTCTTACAGGAGGTAATGGTGTCAAATTCATGGGAACAGAAAGTGCTGGGGCAGGGGCAGGGGAAATGGGTTGTTGTTTAATAGGTATAGAGTTTTCCTTTCACAAGAGGAAAAGGTTTTGAAATCTGCACGACAATGTAAATATACGTAATACTACTGAACTGAGAACTTAAAAATGGTTAAGGTGATAGATTTTATGCCATGTGCTTTTTTTAGCCACGTTACAAATAATTTTAAATTACTAAAAAAAAAAAATGAACCACTAGATGGCATAATTATTATATAAAAATTTAACTTCAAAGGATATATCTATAAGAATAGTTTCTTGATGTGATTAACTTTCTATAAATTTATTTTCTTGTCATTTACTTTCAGATAAAAGGCTTTTCATATTATACATGCTATTTATACTCTAAATGAATAGTACAAAAAAAGTTCAAAACCCGAAAGGAACTCAGAAATGAGGAAACTGAGGCCGTAGTAATTCCTTCATCAGTTGAAATGGTACTGTTGTTATTATGTTGATATCTTTCATCTTACCAAAAAACAGAATTAAATAATATATTTTCCTTTTTTAATGCTGGCCTCATTTTAAAAAGCTCTTACAATTTTCAGCAATTATCCTTCAAATAAAAAATAAATAAAAATTTTTAAAAAGCTATTATAATTTTCTTTCATGTTAATTTATGTAACTATGTAAAACTTCTGTCCTTTTAAAATCTGTCCTACTTTAATAGGGTCTAATTTAACAAAAGAAGAAATCTATCAAAGAAACTCTTTCAGTTGTCACATTTTATGATTCATTCAGAGATGGTCTGGATCTCTCTGAGTCATCAAACATGGCAGACTGGTTGGTGTCCAGAAGGCACGTGATGAAGGGCAGACAACAACAGTGATTCTTCTAACAGCAAGCATTTACTAAGAGGCTAGGATGTTTCAGGCACTGCTCAAAGGGAACTAAGACATGAGCGCAGAGCTCACAGAGCTCCCACATGAACAGAGGAGACAGACAACTCATTGCACCCAGCGGGACATGCAGCTCGAATGACAGAGAAACTCCAAGGGATGGTGGGAGCACCCAGGGGGAAGTGACTAATTCCGCCTGTGGGTCAGAGAAGACCTCTGAGAGGAAGTGCCACTGAACAGGGGACTTGTCATAAGAGCAGGATGCTGCTGGGCAAAGAAAGGAAAAGGCAACAGCCGGACGAAAGCACAGGAATGGGGAGTCTTTTCCTAATGACTGGAGCAATTAGGAAGGAAATCCAAAAAGCAGGGGATATATGTATACATATGTGATTCGAGTTGGGAAAGAATCTGCCTGCAAATGCAAGAGACCTGGGTTCGATTCCAGGGTTGGGAAGATCCCCTGGAGAAGGAAATGGCAACCCAGTCCAGTATTCTTGCTTCTTGCCTGGAGAACCTCATGAACAGAGGAGCCTGGCAGGCTACAGTCCATGGGTTACAAGAGCCGGACACGACTTAACGACTAAACCACCACCACTGCTGATTCACTTACTGTACAGCAGAAACTAACACAACACTGAACAGCAACTAAATACCAATAAAAATTAAAATTAACTAATAAGATAGTACGATAAAAAAGAATGACTGGAGCCTGGGTACAGTAGTGAAGAGGAGAGCCGAAATATAATCCAAGTTTAACTCCATTCAGGATGAACAGAGATTTCTCTGTTAAATACATCAACATATATACACTATCAGGTGTAAGATGGATGATAGCTGGTGAGAAGTTGCTGCGTAGCACAGGGAACCCAGTCTGGCACTCTGTGATGACCTGGAGGGAAGGGACGGGAGGAAGGGAGGGAGGGAATATATGTATAATTATGGCTGATTTGCCTTGTGTATGGCAGAAATCAATACAAAAATTAAAAAGAAACAAAAAAACATGTACTCTATTCAGGAAACTAAGTCTTCTTCCTGTTGAAGGGTATTCTCTCACCCTACCTAGGAAGAATGTCCCCTCCCTTCTCACGTTAAGCCCCTAAACTTGTGAAGATACATAACCTTTCTGTTGTTTGGTCACTAAGTCGTGTCTGACCCTTTGTGACCTCATGAACTGCAGCATGCCAGGCTTCCCTGTCTGTCACCATCTCCCAGAGTTACTCTAACTCATGTCTATTGAGTCAGTGATGCTACCAACCATCTCATCCTCTGTCTTCCCCTTCTCTTCTTGCCCTTGATCTTTACCAGCATCAGGGTCTTTTCAAATGAGTTGGCTCTTTGCATCAGGTGGCCAATGTGTTGAAGCTTCAGCATCAGTCCTTTCAGTGAGCCCCATAAAATACTGACCTCTTGCTTTATCTTCCTTCTGGTCTGTTCATCTCTAGTCACCACCAGAATAACCGCTAACACTTTTATGAATTCTACCATTTAGAAATCTACTGGCCTCTTGGACCTGCATGTGGACCCCTAACAACTGGCCCCCTCCTCATCCCTTCATAATCCATACCACCTGTTCAATCAGGTCAGTCTCTGGATGCCTGCTCACAAACTAGCATGTCTTCTGCATTGCTGCTCATTTTTTTCTGCTTAAAATGAAAGAAATTTTTCTTCAAGCTAGACCTTAAACTCCCTGCCTGGTCTAGTCCAATTTTAACAAAACTTCTTACTGACTAATTGAACAGTGAACTTCCCCTTTCTCAACTACCAAATCTCAACTCATCAGATTTAATACCTGAAGCAGGGTCTCATTTTGTCTCTTTACCCAAGATGTAATCCTTGACTCCCAAGCTAGGGCCCTTAAAGACAGCAGGCTGGTATGCCCCTCCACAGAAGTAACTAAAATATTTAATATTCACTCTCCCAACTAAAAATGAATTGCTGTGAGCGTGGTAATGGGCTTCCAGGTAATATCACTGCAAAGTGCTGGGAGCCTGAGGCAGGCGCAGGAGCAGAAACACCTGGTGTGTGGGGCAGACATACTTTGAATACAATCTGCAGCCTCTAAGCTACAAAAACAAAAGCAGCAATAACCACCACATCAAAAACCTTTTAACGCTGTTATACATACCGTAGGACTAAATAATTTCCAAGCTTAGTCTATTTGGCAGAGGATAAAATAAAAACCATTAAAAAAGAAGGCAGGGCTTCCCTGGGGTCTCAGTGGTAAAGAATCTGTTTGCCAATGCAGGAGACATGGGTTCAATCCCTGGTCCAGGAAGATCTGACATGTTGTGAAGCAAATACCCCCATGTGTCACAACTACTGATCTAGACCTAGACCTAGATCTAGATCTAGACCTAGAGACCCTGCTCTGCAATGAGAAAAGCCATGGCAATGAGAAGCCCATGCACAACTAGAGGATAGCTCCCGCTCGCTGCAACTAGAGGGAAAAAAAGCCTGCATAGCAGAGAAGCCCCAGCATGACCAAAAATAAAAAATATATAAAAAAATTTTTTTAAGCAAATGTAAAAGAAAAGGAAGTAAAAGATAAAAATAGCAGCAGACAATCACTTCCTAAAACGTGCGACTCTGTTTACATTTTCCGCCTTTTAGTAGGAAGTTGGCAAAACCCAACTTCCTACAAAAGTCAAAATATTCTCCTTTTTTTGTGGGTGGGCCGCACTGCGTAGCATGTGGGATCTCAGCTCTCCGACCGGAGATCAAACCTGTGTCCCCTGTAGCAGAAGCATGGAAGTCCCCAGAATATCCCATTTTTTATAACCCAGAAACACTTTTCTACTTACAAGAAGGGGAACTGAGAGTAAGTGATGCTGGAAACCGGTCTGCTAAAGCTCTGAGTGGAGCTCCATTCTATGAGAGTGGCATGGCCCCAGCCCAAAGTGGGAAAGAGCAGCTTTGCCGGTCTTACCCATGGCCACTGGGATGTCTGTCCAGTTCAGGGCACACTTCTGTGTGCAGATCCCCTCCTCATTGAGCACCACGGTGAGATCATCCTGACCCACGGCCACTTTTCCATCCGCCAGAGGTGCAACTAAGGGCTCCAGCTGTTTTCCTGTTGGGAAGAGCTCTTTGTTGGCCCCCTTTCCATCCACCTACAGGAAGACACAAAGTGAGTCACCCAGCTTTCTCCAGCCAATGGCATGAACTGAGGGATGGCCTAGAAAAATCAAGTTAAAACCCCAAACCTACAGAGGCCAATAATATTCCTTATCTGGCATAAAGAAATATTAATAGTCTGTTACGACAATTTTTGAACCAGTTCTTATTTTCTCTAACATGGAGACAGGCATAGAGTTCGGCAGCTAACAATCAAGTGCTAAAGTAATTGGAATTCTCATACAATGCTGGTGAGAACACAAAATGGTATAGTAGCTTTGACTATTGGCTTATTATAAAATTAAATATACACTTACCATGGGACCCGACAATCCCATTCCTAGGCATTTGCCCAGGAGAAATGAAAAATCTGTGTTTATATAAAAATCTGTGTGCAAATGTTTATAGTGGCTAAAAATTGTAAACAACTTTATCCCTCCATACAATGGAAGTCATAAGAATATACTGACCCACACACAACATAGATGGATGTCAACTGCATTATGCTAAGTCAAAGTCAAGCTCAAAAGGCTACGTACTGTATGATATTATTTATAGACATCTGGAAAAGGCAAACTATAAGAGAAGAAGAACAGATCAGTGGTGACTAGAGGTGGGGCTGTGGGAGGAAGGCTGACGTCAGAGGAGAGCATGAGGGAATTTCTTGGGGTGATGGAACTGTTCTGAATCTTTATTTTTCTGGCCTCAAGGTATGCAGGATCTTAGTAACTCCCTTTATCAGGGATTGAACCTGAACCCCCTGCAGTGGAAGTGTGAAGCCCTAACCACTGGGCCACCAGGGAAGTCCCCAGTTCTGAACCTTGATTGTGCTGTAGTTATACAACTCTAGGCATCTGCCAAAACTCAGAACCACACATCCAAAAGAATGTTACTGTACGTAAATAAAGGAAGTAGTTTTGAATAAACTGGTCCTAAAGCAAGATTCCTCACCCTCAAAACACTCCACTCTCAAGAAGGTGACAGCACACCTAAGGCAGGCAGAGCGATGAGAGCCCTCCTCCAACCCTGGCTCCGTTCCCCCAGCGCTCACAGACTCCTCTCAGGTACCTGTCTGCGAGTTGCTATATAGTGAGTTCCAGAGCAGTAACTCACCTGGTGGTGGTGGTTTAGTCACTAAGTCACGTCTGACTCTTGCAAGCCCGTGGACTGTAGCCTGACAGGCTTTTCTGTCCATGGGATTTCCCAGGCAAGAATACTGGAGTAGGTGCTCATTCCCTTCTCCAGGGGCTCTTCCCAACCCAGGGGTAGAATCCACATCTCCTGTATTGCAGGCAGATTCTTCACCATCTGAGCTACCAGAGAAGCCCAGTAACTACCTAGGAGCTTGCAGTTCTGATGCTTATAAAACGAGGCCAGCCCAAGAACATAAATATGGAATGAATATATTCACTAGAAAAACAATGAAGAGCAAACACAGCAGGAAGGAGGGAAGCAAGAGGTGGGGAGAAAGACTTCTAGGATTGATTGCCAAGTCTAGATTACGAGAGGGGTATGAAGATAAGGAATTTATATTATCCTATAAAATGAATGGTATACCGACCTTGTCTACATACATATGCACACTGGAGGGAAAAAAACCAATGCTGTGGATATTTACCACTTAGGTTAAGAGAAAAAGCAGGTTACAAAACAATGTGTATAACATTATATTTTTCGTAAATAGGGCAGATGCACATTACTAAAAGGTTAACAGTGAGTGGAAAAATTATAGATGACTTGCACTTCCTTTACTCTCCTTATCTATATTTTCTTATTTTCTATAATAAAAACAAAAGGCTTTCGAAATTTAAAAAAAAAATAGAAAACAATTTTTACAACAAATATACTATAAGATTCAGGGAGGCAAGAAACTCAAAGTCTCAAAAATACTTAAGTTACTACTAAAATCAGGGCGTTTCCTGGTGGTCTGGTCGTTAGAATTCAGTGCTTTCACTGCCTGGCTGGGGTTCAATCACTGGTTGGGGAACTGAGACCCTGCAAACCAGGCAGCACAGCCAAAGTTTAAAAAAAAAATACTAAAATTAGTATATAATTGCTGAACACCAAAGCCTCAAGATAGCAGCCCATGATAATGCTACTGGACAGATTATCTAGACAGATAGATTATCTAGACAGATTATCTGGACAGATAATGCTACTGGTCCTGATTATCTAGATACAGCATGTGGATAATTCATTATGTAGAGAACTGAGAGATGATGCTGTCTGGCTTAAGATACACAGACATCTTATTTACAAAAGATGTTTAGAGCATGAAAAAGAACCAAACATACAAACACAAACTCTGTTATGCCAAAACTCTACCTAATGCAGTCTCTTGACCTACAGTTCAGAAGCATATAATCATCTCCCCCAGGTAAACTCATAGTCAACTTCCCCAAGGTAAACTGATGATATTTCCAAAAAAGGTAAACCTTACCCTTATTAGATAGTAGTCTCTCTTGAAGCCCACACAGATAGAATTTTCACACCATGCCATGGACTTGGGCACATCTGGTACACTAAAGTCCCCCTGGAGAAAAAGAGCAAGTGTTTAACTGGAAAGATGTTAAAGGGGGAAAAAAAAATAAGTGACCTTCCTGTTATTCTACTTCCATTCTGCAAAATCACCCTCACCCTCCTCTGAATACAATTCTATTAGCACAAGACCAGGAAAGCACCCATAATAAAATATGAAACCCATGAAATGGACAAGGTGCATTTAAAAAAGGTGAAAACCCATTTTGATATAAATCCGTAGAGATGTAAGGCTGGGCTTCCCTTGCCTCTGAAGACCAGGAGACTCTGACAAATGTGCATGAGTAACCTTCACGTATTCAGAGCGGAACATTCATCTGGGGAGACCACTGGGTTCCTGGGCTTCAGAGGAATTGAACAGCCAATCTTTCAAGCTATGGGTCAACTTAGCAGCAGCTCCCATCCAACCCAAGGACCAGGTAACCGTGGACTTTACCTGCAATTCATGAAATTCCCTGTCTTTCCAGAAATAGAGCTGCAGCTTCTTTTTCACAGCCACACACATCCGCAACACCTCCTCCCCAGTCTCTGTGTGCTGGGAAGAGACACCCAGAGCAAATGAGGATGTGTACACTGATGACTCCAGAAGTGGGTGACAGCTAATTCAGAGATTTTCTACCTTGAAATGGCTACTCATCTGAACATTCCTGTCATACAAAGACATGCTGCCAGAGAAGCTGAGCACAGTACACACCGTTCTCTCAAGGTGGACTCACACCCACCGTGCTGAGGAGCGTGTCCTCCCCGTGGGCTGCTAGTCAGAGACACTGGCCCCAGCAAACCTCACAGACGGAAGTAGTTTAGAGAAGAAAATCTACACAACTGCTTCCTCCTTTTTTCCTTAAATGTTTCTTGCTCACGGCTGTCAACATCTGCAGGGGCAGGGATCAGCCTGTGTCAGTGACAGCAGGCCCGCTTTCAATCCTTTAAAGGAGTGGGGGGGGATAGAAAATGTCTAAGCATAAAACAAACAGTGCAGTGTCAATGTAGACCATTAGTGCTTATAAGTGATCAAACCTGAGTTAGAGGGGTGAAGCAGATTGTGAAGAAGCTAAGGATGATGAGGTGGCAAAAATCAGGAGAAATGTCTTTTCTAAACAGCAAGAACTCCCTAATGACGAAGACCACAATGATACATTTAAAACATGAGTCAATTAATGCCACAGAGCTATGTTCATGTACTATCACAGTCCTGATTCCTCACTAACAGTTTGTCCATGGCAAGCGTTTTCATTTTTAGCTAGCTGCCTCCTGAAATACAGTGGTCTGGTGCTTTAATTAGCACACAACCAGGGAATGCAGATATTCTAGCTTCAGGTCACATACTAAGGGGGAGGTTTCTCTAATATGATCCAAAATCAAATAGTCTCTTTGGAGCCTCTGCTGAGTTTGGATATCAATATTACATTCTTCCCATCTACTGGGAGGGATGGTGAGGAAAGGCTATACTGATCAAAGCACAAAGTCAAATTTTATCTTCCTTGCACTTACCTGGAGGTCACATGTGAACAACGATGCTCCCTTTGCCTTGGAAACCGTAGTGATTTGTTGAAATGTCAACAGGTCATGGACGTAAATATTATTTTCTGTTTGGTAGGAGATAAAACCACCACTATAAATTATCACAGTTCTCTAGGATAGCAAACTTCAAGACAAAAAAAAAAAGGCAAATGCTGGTTCAAGACATTATCTTCAGTTTCACTAGCAATGACTTATTCTGGTCCATGAACCGGTAAAAAAAAAAAAAAAAAAGTAAGAGGTCACTTAATCTTCTAAACTTGGATATTTTGTTTCTTTCAATCTGGGCTAGCTTGAGTAAAAGAGCTCTTCCACTTCCAAACAGCACTCTTACATTTGGTCTTTCTCAAATCTGGAAACTCCTGATGTAATATTTGTACAAGAAATTCCTTTTCAAACTATTCATGTTAGGAGGCTCCAATAAGAGAAAGGAAACACCCTATGGATTCTGTAAAAACACATGGCGAGAATTTTTTTTCCCTAGCAAAGCAAGCACAATAATTTCACTTGCACCCTCTAGCTAGTTTTAGGTACTTTAAATGTTTCTCTCTTAACTAGAAACTAAGTTTAAAAGGATTCTACTACTCGGGCCCTGGGCTGAACATAAGGAGCATGAGGCAAGTTTCTTCTGCTTGTCAAGAAAAGGCCTTACTGGCCACCTCCCATGAAACTGTGGCTTTTCAGACAAGGCCTTGAATAGTCTGGCTCTGATTTCTCACCTGTTTCTAGCCACTCTCCACCATATACCTGAAGTTTGGCCACATCTCAGGGCCTGTGCTGAAGCTGTCTCCTCTGCCTTTAATGCTCTCCGACCTCTGTCTTCCTGCTGAAATTCTAATCACCCACTAGACACTGCTGTCCCTCCTGTTATTAAGACCCTGCACTTTTTATAAATTTTCACTGGAACTTGTGTGTCTGCATGCTCAGTTGCTTAGTTGTGTCCAACTCTTTGCAACCCTATGGACTATAGAATGCCAGACTCCTCTGTCCATGGGATTCTCCAGGCAAGAATACTGGAGTGGCTTGCCACCTCCGCCAGGGGATTTTCCCAACCCAGGGATCAAACCCGGGTCTCCTGCATTGAAGGTAGATTCCTTCCACTAAGCCCCTGGGGAAGCTCCACTGTAACTTATTCCACTGTAATATGAGTACTTTCTGTCATTTTGGTCTTCAGAATCAGAACCTAAGTTTTAAAGATGGAAACCATGTCTCATTCAACTTGGTATCTCCAATGTCTAGAGTAAGGCACAATATATACTGAATGAATGAAATGACACTTCTTGGAGAACAGAGCTCAAGATATGGGGGATGTACCTTTATTACCTGTGTACCCTGCTGTATCTGGTGAGGAATGTGTCAGTTTCACTGTTAAATAATAACTATCAAATTAACCATGAAAAGGTTAATCAGATTACAGTTTCTGTTTCTTGATACATGGAATACAAATGCAACCCCTTTTCTTACCTAACAAGCTGACCAGAATCTTAAACTGGGAGACCACATGGATCTGGAAAAGAGCAAATCATTAGATTCAGTTAAACATTTCTGACAAGGTTCAGCAAATGTTCATTTTAACTAAAAATAAAATGGGACTAAAAAGCCAACATCAATGGCAAGGATATGACTTATATGCAATCACAATTTCTGCTCATGAAAGAGGATTTCAGGTATGTGATGGATGGACAGATATCCCTGCAGAAATAGGAGGGCAGACAGCAGACGATTCAAAGACGAGTAAATAATTTTACCAAAGTTCTAGCTTTGATCAGGTCTCTTAGACGTCAATTTCGTGGCTTACCTGCTGAATCTTTTTGGAGAAGTTCTTATTGGATTTCTCTAATGTCACTTCAAACCTGTTGCAACCTATGGAAAAGAAACAAACACATTTCCAAACATAGGAATACCTATAAAAAGAACCATGACAAAAAAAATGCTGCTCCATACCGCTCTCCTACACGAATCATTAAAAAAAAAAAAAAAATCCTGAAAGAACAGAAGTTGGAGATCTAAAAGAGACAGCTGTCTTTACTAAGGATAGCAAGTTGCTTTCAGCTCCAATTTTGGAACAAAGGGTTTCATGCACCTCTTCCTGGCTTTAGCAGAAAGGACCAAACCACAGTTTACTGAAGCTGCAAGGTACTTACGAGGATTTTATCCCACATAATAGTACCTTGGCAAAGTATTTCATCAAAAGAGTGTAAAAAGTAACAGTAAAATATGGGAGCCCAAGCAATGAATCCCAGCCCAAAGCATTCTTAGATCTAACTAACTCCCAGCAGCTACCATATGTCCTGCATCACAGGACAGAGCAAACACCAGCCCCGGAGCTAAAGCAATTTAATGCATCTACACTTACTGCCACTCTTGGATGATGCTACACCTGCTGACACTGTTGCAAGAAAAGGGGGAAGAAAGTTATAAGCCTTAAAAACAAGTGAAGCCCATCTTGCCGGGGTGACCAAAATATTTAGCATCAAAAACACCAAAGGGTCAAAAAGAATAACTATCACAGCAATAATAGCAGTTATGATTAACTAAGCAACAACTAAGTGCCCGGCTCTGGATTTTTAAATTTGTGTGTATTCTCTGCGACCTCACAACCACCCCAAGAAGGAGGGTGGTTATTATTCCAATTTCATCTCTGAGAGAACTGACAGGTCAAGCAGTTAGAGAGCAGCCAGTGAGAGACAGCCCAGAGGCAAACTCAGGGCTGACTTTACATGGAGCCTGGGTAAAGCCTGCACCCTGACACCTGCCTCCCAGCTAGAGGAGAGACTATGTACATTGCTGACCATGCAAGTCAAGTTGGTGGAGATTCTCTGAGCAGCCACAAAGGCCCACGTCACCAAAGTTGGTCTTACTTCCTCCACATGTCCCTAAGGAGGAGATGAAGATGGGGCCCTGAAGTTGTGGGTGATACAGAAACCTAGTCTGTATTATGTCATTACATTTCACAAGGGGAAAAAAATATCAGCCATTATTGCTTGATAAAGAGTTCTGTATTTGGAAAAAGAGACTCAGATGTATGGAACAGACTTGTGGACTCTGGGAGAAGGCGAGGGTGGGATGTTTCAGGAGAACAGCATTGAAACATGTATATNTCAAACTTCTACATGGATTTCAGCTATCAATGTTTACCATCTCAGAAATCAAAACTGAGCCATTTTAAACACATGCATTTGGCGGGGAGGGGCGCTGTCCTGCGTCTTTGCCGCTGCACAGGCCTCTCCCTGGCTGCGGTGAGGAGGGGCTCTTCTCTAGTGTGGTGTGCTGGCCTCTCACTGTGGCGGCTTCTCTTCTTGCTGAGCATGCGCTCTAGGTAGGGGGGCTTCAGGAGTCGCGATTTCCAGGCTCTAGAGCACAGGCTCAATCGTTGCAAGGGCTTAGCTGCTCCCCAGCATGTGGGATCTTCCCGGATCAGGGAGTCAATCTGTGTCTCCTGCACTGGCAGGCGAATTCTTTACCACTGAAACACTGAGGGAAGCCCCTTAAAAACATGCATTAACTGACTTATAACAGTAATAAGCTCATTACATATTAGCATAAATATTTTTATCAATAATAACTATTTTCTCCAAATTTAAAAGAAAAGCATTGTTTTACACTTTTGTAAATCTCTTTTAAGGTCTGGCAGGAGACCCCGGTTCAATGGCTGGGTCGGGAAGATCCGCTGGAGAAGGGTCAGGCTCCCCACTCCAGTGTTCCTGGGCTTCCCTGGTGGCTCAGCAGGTAAAGAATCCACCTGCAATGTGGGAGACCTGGGTTCGATCCCGGGGTGGAAAGATCTCCTGGAGAAGGGAATGGCTACCCACTCCAATATTCTGGCCTGGAGAATTTCATGGACTGTATAGTCCATGGAGTCACAAAGAGTTGGACATGACTGAGTGACTTTCACTTCACGAACAGAAGATAGTTGGCTCTCATATTTGTCTCTGCATTTAATCTGTTTTGATACACTGCATGGCTGAGGTATATGACAAACATCTGTCCTCATGTAGACATGTAGTTGAAAAAGGGAGGAATAGCTTTTTAATAGCTTTTTCAGATAATTGGGGATCTTTGATGCTACACCAAAACTTGACAAAGGGAGTTTCTTGCAATCTGGAATCTGAAACCTATTAATGAACTTTTCTGTTAAAGTCCACTGGTCTATTTTACATTTTGAATGGCTCTTTTATTTATGCTTTGTTTAGAAAATATTGGTTTACACAGTTATGCAGATTTTCCAAATGTTGACACATTTTGTTATACGATTGAGAAAAAAAAAAAAAAACATGCTCATTATCACCCCGGTCTCGTCAGAAAAAGCTTTCAGTGCTGAGAAGCTGTCCAGTTCATGGGGTTGGATACAATTTTTCCACAATTCTGATTTTCTCTTGAAAGCTCTAACTTTATCAGTTAACTGGCAGTAACACTACTGCCAGTTGTTTTCTTTGAAGTGAGAGACTATTCATTTTTGAGAAAACATCTACCAAACACCCAAATGCTCTGAAAAACCACAATCTATCTGTTAGTCATTCTCTCAAGGAGAAATGATGCTCCATTAAATAAATGGTTGGCTCAGCTCATTACTCCCAACAATCACAGGAGAACTTTCCCCTGAGATGGTCACTGGGCTGCATACCTTGCACACAGCAGAAGTGCTTTACGTGTACTTCCCATTATACCACAGAGATTATTGAAGAGGTGTTCTCAAGGGTCAAGATATAATAAAACTAATACTTTTTACTGCCCCACAAAGAACATGTATGCTTAGGCGCTCAGTCATGTTTGACTCTTTGCAACCCCATGGACTGCAGCCCGCCAGGCTCCCCTGCCCATGGGGATTCTCCAGGCAAGAATACTGGAGTGGGTTGCCATGCCCTCCTCCAGGGGATCTTCCTAACCCAGGGATCGAACCCAGGTCTCCCACATTGCAGGCGGATTCTTAACCGTCTGAGTCACTAGGGGTGAAACTGGCAAAAGAAAAAAAAACACTGTGAGCAGACACCGGGAAAAAATACAACTGCTAGGTCAGTGTGGTGCCAAAGTTTTTTTGACACATTGTCATGAACTTATTTTAAGGGGCAGCAGTTTTAGCTGCCACTATTTTTAGACCATCAGTGCAAATGTCAATATATGTCAATGAAAAAATGATAATGTTTTAGTGTTACGGTGTGAGCTTAAGTTTTGACGTTGTGGATCCTCTGAAAGGATTGTGGGATACCTCCTGGGGTCTAGAAATTATCGACTGAAAAAAAATGCACAACCTAAAAGTTGAGAATTATATTTTATTCTGTAGACTTGCTGAGGACCTCAGGAAGAGCCAGGATATATAGGAGTTCAGACCAAAAACAAAACAAAACCAGGTGGTCAAACATCAAAAGATAACTGCTATTTAAGAAAACCAGACTTCTCAAGTTTAGTGCTTTTCTATGTATGGGAAGATATAAGAGTCTGGACTCACTGAAATCATTCCTCTGATACGCACCTTAATCATTTAGGGCCAGTATACTGTTTTTCAGGCTTCCCAAGTGGTGCTAGTGGTAAAGAACTCACCTGCCAATGCAGGAGACATAAGAGATGCAGGTTCAATCCCTGGGTTGGGAAGATCCTCTGGAGCAAGGCATGGCAACCCACTCCAGTATCCTTGCCTGGAGAATCCCATAGACAGAGCAGCCTGGCAGGCTACAGTCCATGGTGTTGCAAAGAGTCAGAAACGACACAACCCAAGCGACTGAGCATGCAAACATATACTGTTTTTCTCCCTTCTGAATCCCCTCAGGGTGGACAGTTTGAGCCTGCAGTGGCTGATGGCTTGAGGGTCACACATCCTTTGTTCACTGATATGGCACGTAACATTTTTCCTCTACAAGACCAGACTTTGCAAATCACTGCTCTAGGGTGAAGCATCACTGAAGTAAACATAAAATTGTTAAGACCTAAGATGAGAAGTAATCTAAAGCCTCTGTTTAAGATACCAGTAGACTGAAGTTTCTGAGTAGACTGAAGCCGAGAGATGTTTGTGAACTCACAGGAGGGAGTTGGCTCAGATCAGGTTGGAATCCAGGTCCCGTTCATCCCAGTCTTTCCAGGAAATCTTATTACCCACTCTGTCTCTTTCCTCAGAAAGACAGTCTAGTCGAAAACTTATCAAGGTTTTAAGAGGGAGAGAGTGAAGAGACAAACTAGGTAATTCAATAGTTAATCCCAGTAGGGGTTTGTCAGTAAGGAAAAAAGTATGGGAGACCCCCATGTAAATCAATGACCATGCAACCCCATGACTGTAGTCTGCCAGGCTCCTCTGTCCAACGGATTTTCCAGACAAGAATACTGGAATGGGTTGCAATGTCCTCCTCCAGGGGGCCTTCCTGACCCAGGGATAGAACCCTGGTCTCTTATGTCTCCTGCATCTGCAGGTGGGTTTTTTTTTACCACAAGCATCACCTGGGAACCACAAAATGACCCAAGAGAAGCATGAGACGTGCCTCCAAACAATAAAACAATGGTGCATGAGACACACATCCTGCCCAGTGAGCTCAATGAATTAATGATTCCTAGGTCACACTCCTCTGCACACACTAAAAACAAAAATATGAGGAAAAAGTGACATTATATTGAAACCTCAGATAATTTATCATTTTTAGCATATGTTATTGCCTATTTTGTTCACTTCTATTGCACCATGATAGTCCTAGTTTGACCATGTAGGACAAGAAAACTCCCCCACCTGGCGTGGAGGAAGAACTGATGACGGGAGTATGACATCTGCTCAAGAATGAGGAAGAAGGCGGTTTTTTCCCCTCTCCCCACTTTTCCTTTGATTATAAAACTGTAGCCCACTAAGTTCTCGAGGTGTAGCACCCTCTTGCCCATCCGCTTGTACGTCTCACAGGCGTCTTATTTTAATAAATCACTGCCTATCTATCACGGTGCTTCTCACTGAATTCTTTCTGTGCTGAGACATAAAGGACCGGAACTCCCAAAAAGTGCCACCTAGTGGTTTCAGTTTTGGAATATCTCAAATGTAGAAACTCAGTTCCATGGCTGATTCATAGAGGCCGAAGTCTATTTCTGGCTGATAAACACAGCAGAAAGTGGCTTAGAACTGAACTGTTCTCTAAGGGTATATGGAGAAGTGAGGCTTCTAACTAGAGTTTGGTTTCCTAACTGTCTAAGGTAAGTTAATACTGCTATCCCAGTGACCTGTGGGGAAACAGGGAAAGTAACTAACCTGTCAAGGGTTACATGATGAATTGGGGAAGGAACAATCACCACCAGGGTTCCAGGTCAGAGTAACATTAACATTACCAGTTTGAGGCTATACTATGTTGAAAAGTTTACTTTAAGAGTCCAGTTTTCAACTCCTCATCACTTATACAGAAATGATATATTAAACAAGTTACTTTATCAGAGTATTCAGTATTTGATGGTACAAAGAAGTGATTATCTTTTGGGATAAGAATATTAGGTTCTCTTATTTCCCTGCCTTGTACATCATCTGAGCCCACAGTAAAGGGTCAAAACAGAGTTGCGTAATGTTGAATAAAATCAAAGGCAGGTTTAATTTTTAAATTATAGACTGGGTTGATATCACAGAATACAAATATTCTGGCTTTGAAAAATTTAAAGCAAGGGCCAACAAAGTACCGTCTGGGGGTCAAACCCAGCCCTCCACATGTTTCTATAAATACAGTTTTGCTGGCACACAGCCACATCCATGCTCTTTTGCTACAGTGGCAGAATAACCATGACAGAGATCTCACGACCTGAAAAGCCCCAAATATTTACTATTTCCGTAAGTAGATCAGATAGGGGCTCCCCAGAGAAAGAGAATCAGTCATGGTTTTCTTGACATAAAAGAAGCCATTTTTGTTCCCCTAAGCCGTTCCATGATCTAAACCTGACCACAGTGCTTGTCCCTGCCAGGTCTCAGTAACAATGATCTTCAGGGAACAAAAGAACAAACCTTAATCAGGCAAGAGAAGTCACAACAGCAAAGACAACAAATCAGGTATCAAGACCCCCAGTTCTGCTTCATTGGTAAAGATTAGCCTACTTTCTTAAGATTTTCCAGAATTTAACACCTGTCCCCCCCACCCTGGCCGAAGGGATAATGATGTTGATCTTCCCAGACCCTCTTGACTTCACTCAACTAAAGTCTCAGCTCTCAACTACCCAAGTCTCTTAATTTAAAAACTTTCCCATTTTGCTGCTTGGGGACACGCTGCTTTGGGAAAGACCCCCAGTGTTCTCCTTAGTTGCAACAAGTATAAATCCTTCTTCCACTCTCTTTCTTGCTCATGTCTTTTTGCTCAACACCCACCAAGAGGCGAATCCAGTTTTGGGGTAACATTTAGTTCTTTTTTGGGAACAAGTTGGCAGACTATTGATTTAAAGTCAAAAAACTTAGAAATGAAATCTAGTAAGNCACTCTCTTTCTTGCTCGTGTCTTTTTGCTCAACACCCACCAAGAGGCGAATCCAGTTTTGGGGTAACATTTAGTTCTTTTTTGGGAACAAGTTGGCAGACTATTGATTTAAAGTCAAAAAACTTAGAAATGAAATCTAGTAAGTCTCCTACATATGAACGCTCAAAGATGCAAACATGCGTTCCATCAACATCAGGTGTGACTGAAATTGCAGGCTGTGCCCTCCGATTGTGTTAGTTGGGTAGTCAGGCTAACTTTGCTGGTCTTACAAACAAACAGGACTAATGAACGTGCTCTCGGAAAAGAACTCATTCATGTGTAGGGGACTTACTGTAAAGCCTATTTTGATCTTCTGGTTTCCTTTCCTACCCCACCACTGAACTTGACTAGGTACCATCCTCCTTCCCTATTACACCAGTGAAGGGAAGCAGAATATACCACCCTCACATATGCTTCTCTGACACAAAGATTATTTTGAGCTGAAGGTAACTGAGGAGCAGCAGATACAAGAAAAGCTCTCTACCCTCCCCCATCTGCCAAAGAGCAAGACATAAATTTACAAAGGTACCTTCTCTCCCCTCTCTACCAAGGACAATATTTAAATAATTTAGAGACAACTCTAGACCCTTATCAGCCCAGAGACTACACCAGGGCANGTCCGGAGACCTGGATTTGATCCCTGGGTTGGGAAGATACCCTGGAAAAGGGAAAGGCTACCCACTCCAGTATTCTGGCCTGGAGAATTCCGTGGACTGTATGGTCCATGGGGTCGCAAAGAGTTGGACACAACTGAGCGACTTTCACTTTCTACATTTTTACTGACAGAAATATTAAAAGTTTTAGTTTTCCAAGTCCTTGCATGTGACCCCAACAATTTTGTGAGATACTTTACAGAAGAAGAAACTGACACTGCGAAGGACCTACTCAGAGTCACATGTCAGAGAAGTAAAGCCTGACTCAAACCCAGGTCCTCTCTGCCCTAGCCCACCCCACAGAAGTTTAACACGATCTTTAAAATCAATAGCTCCTAACTTTTCTTCCCCTTCTATTGTACCATTTACACAAGAATTTTATTCCTGTAATATTCCTTTTTTCTGGCCTGAGTCTCCAAGAAGTGAGAAGGGAAAACACATCCAGCCCCACCTCCCAGAAGGTGATATGGGAACATAGTCTGAAAAAAAAGAGAAAAACCCTTGAGAGTCTCACAAGTTTCTCCTTACTCCCCACTCTTCCACTGTGCTACCACCAATCCCCACTCACCTTTTTAATGGTCCAGTAATCATTGATTTCACAGCTGTATACCAGTTGACTACCAATTTGTTTAACTTGAGTAGTAAGCCACTTCTTACTTGGTTCTGAAAAGTTGCCACTTACCAACGTCTTTCCGAATCCTATAGAGAAGAAGATGACCTTGTTTTGTTCCAACAAGCAGCCATTCTTCTGAAAAAGAAAAGGACCATCAGCTTCAGTAAGACCCTGTTTCTTTAGTTGGGGCTTATAAGCAGAAATCAAAGGGTTGAGAAAATGGGTTGGCTTTGATAATATGTGTTTTGCAAAACTAAGAAATGTTTATATTCAAGAAATGTTTGAGAATCAAATAATTGAAAACAATATTTATTGAACTACATGAGACATATCAGAGAATGAAAAATGCCCCCAGCTTCATTGTTTCAAAATGAAACTGACCAAAAATATGATAGAAGTTTATAAAATCATAAAATGGGTAGCATAAACATAAGACTAGGTATGTTTCCACGTGCCATAGCACATAAAGCTTACAGAACTATCTCAAAAGATGGTCTAACAGATAGTATCAAGTGTGACAAAGATGTGAAGAAACTAGAATGCTCATACATTGTTCGCAGGAAAATAAAATTGCAGCCCTATGAAAAACAATCTCACAGTTTCATAAAAGACTAAACACAGAGTTACTGTATGACCCAGCAATTCCAAAACCCATGGGTATACACATAATAGAAATGAAACATATCTTCCCACAAAAAAATTGTACATAAATGTTCACAGTAGTGTTATTCACAATAGCCAAAAGGTGGAAACAACATAAGTATCCACCAACGGATGGGTGGATAAACAAAATGTGGCATATCCATTCAATGGAATATTCCAGTCATTAAAAGAAATGAAGTGGTGACATATGCTACAATGCAGATGGATCTGACAATATTATACTAAATGAAAGAAGCTAGACAAAAAAGGCTACATATTGCATGATTCTATTATATTACATGAAATGTCCAGGATAGGCATATCTAGAGACAGTAAGATTAGTGGTTGCCTAGAGCTGGTGGGCTTAAGGAGAATGGGGCGAGTGGGCTTGGGGAAAAAGAAGTGGGATTTCTTTTCAGGATTACAAAAATGTTTTGAAACTGACTGTGGTGATATTTGCACAACTCTGTGAATGTACTGACAACCACCAAATTGTATACTCTAAATGGGTGAGTTTTATGGTATATGAATTATACCTCATTAAAGCTCTTACTTAAAAAAAAAAAGAAAAGATGGTCTTGGTTACTGGCTCTTTAATTTTGATATGCATCAGAATTATTTGAGGATTTATTAAAATAGATTAGTAGGCAGGCCTTGCCCTCAGTTTCTGATTCAGTAGGTCTGGAAGTGGGCCTGGGAATCTGCATTTCTAATAAGTCCCCAGGCAATGCTTTCTGCTGTTTGTCTAGAGATAGCATTTTGGGAGACACTGCTCTTGGCTAAAAGTCAAAAGGTTCTGAAAGGACTTAAATAATTACCCTAATAGATTTACATTAAATAATTAAGCTAAATTAAGCATGTACAGATATTTCCTTGGCTTTTTGATGTTGTAACATAAAGGTCACTCATTCCCTTCATAAACTTCTAGATCCTCTGCAAAATAAAATATTGGATAATGACATAGACAAACTTTACTGAGGATGCAGTAAAGTATTCCTGGAAATGCTAAGCAGTTATCACATGCTATAATAACTATCCTTTGAAGTATGTCTTTTTCTTTTTTAAAAGAACTTTTGTCCATACCACATGCGGGATCTTAGTTCCCCAACCAGGGATTGAACCCATGCCCCCTGCAATAGAAGCATGGAGTCTTAACCATTGGACTGCCAGGGAAGTTCCAGTATGTCCTTAACTTAAATCTCTATTTTATAGATGAGGAAGTTGAGGCCTAGGGAATAAGTAACTTGTCCAGAGTCACACATTTAGTAAGACATGTGTAGCAGAGACAGGATCTCAACCCCAGTTTGTCTTACCTTTAGCCACATGCTGAAAGTGAAAGTCACTCAGTCATGTCCAACTCTTTGCAACCCCATGGACTGTTCACAGAATTTTCCAGGCCAGAACACTGGAGTGTGTAGCTCTTCCCTTTTCCAGGGGATCTTTCCAACCCAGGGATCAAACCCAGGTCTTCCACATTACAGGCAGACTCTTTACCAGCTGAGCCACAAGCAAAGTCCAAGAACACTGGAGTGGGTAGCCTATCCCTTCTCCAGGGGATCTTCCCAACCCAGGAATCGAACCAGGTCTCCCGCATTACAGGCAGATTCTTTACCAACTGAGCTACGAGGAAAGCACTGATATGAAGCACATGTTATGATGCACTTATTAAGGCATCTCATCTCATCTCAAAGCAATGGGTGTTAGCCACAGGCTATCTGAAAGGTACAGTTATGTTTATAAAACATGTCCGGAGCAACACCAGAAATATTTCTCCAGGTTGATGTTCTTAGTCTTCCAGAAAAAGATAATGACTCTGTCCTCTTTTAGGTTTTAAAGTAAAGGCAGGACACAGAAAGTAAGAGAGTGTGCTCTCAATGACATAAGTGGAAACGAGAAATAACACTAGCTCCAGTAGAACACTGGTGATTTATGTCAGAGCAGAACATGGGGGAACAAAAAAGAACGCAGTTCACAAGGCTTGCTTTGAAAAATATATTATGTTTAGAACTTTACTTATATTAATAGATATCACTGTAGTGAGCAATTGATAATATTAAAGTTGATTTTCAGGATACCCACTAATATTTCAAATACAAATAAAACAAAATTTTTAAAAAATTCACTTACACATAAAAACCTACAGCAAAAAGGCCAACACAATGTTCACCATCTTCCCCATCCTCTCCACCATGACCCCCAAACACCTGCCAGTTCCTGTTTTTCTTTACCTTTTTCAACAGGTTCATCAACTACCCAGATCTGCAAGGCCTATCAACTTTACCTCTACAAGGTACCTGGCAACAGCCCTCTCCCTGAGTCCCCGGGGACCCCTCAGCTGGTCTCACGCTATGTGTCCTTCCATGTTTGCTGGCTGTTACCTTAAAGCACATCTCCAATGCTGTCCAATTGGGGTTTAAAAAATCCTCATGAAGATGGACTGCCAAAACATGAAGCCAAACTCGTAATCATGACTTTCAAGGGTGTGCTTTCCATTTTTATTGACATGTTTATTTGCCAATAGACATTTCTATCAAATGTCTACTGGTGATAAAATGGAATCAAATAAATTTATTGAAAATTTTAAAAAAATTTTAATTGAGGGACTTCCTTGGTGGTCCAGGGGTTAAGAATCCACTTTGCAAGGCAGAGGACAAGCGTTTGATCCCTGGATGAGAAACTAAGACCCCACATGCCTTGGAGCCTGAGAGCTGCAACATGCAGCAACTAAGACTCAATGCAGCCAAATAAAATAAACATTAAAAGAAAAAACTTTTTAAAAATTTTTTTAATTGAAATTTTATTTGACCTTTCTCGATTATTCCTCTGGAGATGCTGATGAAAATGCACTTATCATACATGCAACATATTGAAACAGCTTTCTTTTAACTAGTAAAAGGACCACACACATATTCATTTCTAATACTCAAAGTCAAGGAAAAAGAGTGCATCATCCAGACATAACAATGGCACAGAGCTCTGACGAGGCCTGATTTGGTTACAGAAGTCAATGGGGGTTCAGGTGGCCGGAGAACCAACCCAGGCCGGAGGACCAACCCAGGGACCAGAGGACCAACCCATGCATGCTCTCTGTCACCAGACAACATAGCTGTGCATGCAAAACACTGGAAATGAAAAGCCTGCAGAGCGGGCAGAGCACGGGGTAGGTAGACAGTCTCTCTGGGACTCAACACTGCACGTCAGAAAGTGGAACATACTACACAAACGGGTCACACAGGCAAAAACAAAGGAGAGTCAGCCCTAGAAAACTCCCAGTGGCCTAATCCTGAGCCACAAGATCACAGACATGATTCCTCCTGGGAAGGAAGGTGGAGCCCTCTAGCTCACAATTACCCTACTGAAGCTCCATCCAACCGTGCAGCTCAGTCCAAATGCATGTAATAAACCCCCACTGCTGAACATGGCAGCGAGTACAGAGATGAACAGGATAGTGGTCCCTTTCCTTTTTTGAGTCACAGGGCAAAGAACAGTGTTTCTCAAAGCACCAGCCCCTGATTAGCTGTGTCAGAATCACTTGGACTTATTAAAAATGCCCATTCCTGAGCTCAGCTCCCAGAGATTCTGATGCAGTGATTCTTACCCACTAATATTTCAAATACAAATAAAACAAAATTTTTAAAAAATTCACTTACACATAAAAACCTACAGCAAAAAGGCCAACACAATGTTCACCATCTTCCCCATCCTCTCCACCATGACCCCCAAACACCTGCCAGTTCCTGTTTTTCTTTACCTTTTTCAACAGGTTCATCAACTACCCAGATCTGCAAGGCCTATCAACTTTACCTCTACAAGGTACCTGGCAACAGCCCTCTCCCTGAGTCCCCGGGGACCCCTCAGCTGGTCTCACGCTATGTGTCCTTCCATGTTTGCTGGCTGTTACCTTAAAGCACATCTCCAATGCTGTCCAATTGGGGTTTAAAAAATCCTCATGAAGATGGACTGCCAAAACATGAAGCCAAACTCGTAATCATGACTTTCAAGGGTGTGCTTTCCATTTTTATTGACATGTTTATTTGCCAATAGACATTTCTATCAAATGTCTACTGGTGATAAAATGGAATCAAATAAATTTATTGAAAATTTTAAAAAAATTTTAATTGAGGGACTTCCTTGGTGGTCCAGGGGTTAAGAATCCACTTTGCAAGGCAGAGGACAAGCGTTTGATCCCTGGATGAGAAACTAAGACCCCACATGCCTTGGAGCCTGAGAGCTGCAACATGCAGCAACTAAGACTCAATGCAGCCAAATAAAATAAACATTAAAAGAAAAAACTTTTTAAAAATTTTTTTAATTGAAATTTTATTTGACCTTTCTCGATTATTCCTCTGGAGATGCTGATGAAAATGCACTTATCATACATGCAACATATTGAAACAGCTTTCTTTTAACTAGTAAAAGGACCACACACATATTCATTTCTAATACTCAAAGTCAAGGAAAAAGAGTGCATCATCCAGACATAACAATGGCACAGAGCTCTGACGAGGCCTGATTTGGTTACAGAAGTCAATGGGGGTTCAGGTGGCCGGAGAACCAACCCAGGCCGGAGGACCAACCCAGGGACCAGAGGACCAACCCATGCATGCTCTCTGTCACCAGACAACATAGCTGTGCATGCAAAACACTGGAAATGAAAAGCCTGCAGAGCGGGCAGAGCACGGGGTAGGTAGACAGTCTCTCTGGGACTCAACACTGCACGTCAGAAAGTGGAACATACTACACAAACGGGTCACACAGGCAAAAACAAAGGAGAGTCAGCCCTAGAAAACTCCCAGTGGCCTAATCCTGAGCCACAAGATCACAGACATGATTCCTCCTGGGAAGGAAGGTGGAGCCCTCTAGCTCACAATTACCCTACTGAAGCTCCATCCAACCGTGCAGCTCAGTCCAAATGCATGTAATAAACCCCCACTGCTGAACATGGCAGCGAGTACAGAGATGAACAGGATAGTGGTCACTTTCCTTCTTTGAGTCACAGGGCAAAGAACAGTGTTTCTCAAAGCACCAGCCCCTGATTAGCTGTGTCAGAATCACTTGGACTTATTAAAAATGCCCATTCCTGAGCCCAGCTCCCAGAGATTCTGATGCAGTGATTCTGCAGTGGTGCCCTGAAATTTGCATTTTTAAATTTTTTCATTATATGAGACATTTACCTAATTCCAAAGCTAAAACTATGAGAAGTCCATCCTGTCCACTTCACCTTGTTCTCTTCCTTCTGCTGTAAGTAACCATTTTAATCATTCTTGATTTATTTTTCCATTGTTTCTTTGGAAAACAAATAAAAATGATTTGGCGTACACACATACAGATACACACACGTATACCTACATTTTTTTTTATAGGCTCTGAATATACATTAAAGTTTGAGAACCAAGCTCTAGAATCAGATATGATTTACTGGATTTACCTTGGAAAACCTACTTCAATTTTCAGGTTCTTCCTCTGGAAAATTGAGTTGTTATTACTGCATTAATGCTTACTACATCTAAGTACTCAACAATGAAAGCCCTTACTATTAGTCAATTAAACAAATATTTAATAAGTATCCATTATGAGTCAGGAACTGTTCTAGGCACAGTAAATAAACCTATGGACAAAACAAAGTTGTTGCTCTGAAGGAACTTATACTCTAATATGGAATGACAGAGACAATAATAACATATAAAATAGCAGTAAGAGGCTTCTATGATAAGAAGATAAGGCTGAGTAAAAGAGGAGCACATTGGTGGATGTGGCGTTTTCTTTTATACAGAATAGCTCGGGCAAGTCTTGCTGATTTGTGTGACATTTCAGCAAACCAAACGAGGAATGAGCCATATATCTAGGACAAGAGACTGTCAGGCAGAGGAAACAGCAAGTGGAAAGGCCCTGAGATTAGTTACATGAGTTACATGCTTTGTGTGTTCATGGAACAAGAACAACCATGTAATTAGTAGCAGAGAGGAGCAAGGGATAAGACCATAGGGAAAAACAAGGAACATAACTCTAGAGGCCTGGTCATGACAGGTGTTGCCAGTCATGTTAAGGACTTTGGAACTTATTCCAGTTGTGATGTGAAGCTACTGGAGGGTTTTGAGCAGAGGAGAGATGCAAATAGATGACATTTTCAAAGGACCTCTCTACCTCTATGTGGATAAAATACTGCAAATGGCACAATGGCAAACTGAGGGTGATGAATCTGAAGACTATTATAGTCATTAAGATGGGAGAGACTGGTGCCTTCATCGACAGCAGTGAACAGTAGAGATGGAGAGAAGTGGCTGGATTGTAGAATTATTCAGGAGGTGGAGCAGATAAGATTTGCTGATGGACTGGATGTGGTGTATAAAAGAGTAAGAGAAGTCAAGGATAATTCCAAGGCTTTGGGGTTTAGCCAAATGGGTAAACAGAAATGCCATTTCTGTTTGCAGAGATAATGGGATACAGGGGGATGGCCACATTTTGAAATCAGGAACTGTTCTGGCCATGCAACCAGATATCCAAATGAAGATGCTGAAGAGGCAGCTGGATTCTACAACTCTGGAATTTTGGGAGAAGTCCTCCTCCTCATCATCACCATCAGTATCTTCCTCAGTTCCATGTCCCAGAAGATGGGATTATGGTGGCTCTATGACATCTTCCAGCTTAAATACTGTCTGGCCCTCCAGAGGCCTGGAGGTTCCTGGATGAACTTTCCACCTAGGGTCACAATGTAGACAGAAGGGGTAAAAACTAGAAACAGCAATATTTACTGCTGCTAAAGCCTGAAAATAAAGTAGTGTTGAGGCACAAGGCAGTAAATGGCCCCTCACAGCCCAATACCTAGTGCAGCAATCTCGTAGGCAACAGGTGTTTCTCCTGTTTTGCTGGAGTTTAGACAGGCCAAAAGCTACCTACCATTTCAAAAACTGTTTCTGGAAAGCACAGGTACAGAAAATCTTTATGGTAACAAACTGCAGTTGGTGAAAGAGCCTGAAGTATGTGGACTACTAGTCCCATAGGGTATCAGGGTCAAGGATTTTGTCAAGTTAAGTGGAGTGTGGCAAGTGGCTGCATCCATCCTTTTCAGAAACATATGTCCGAGGCTGAGTGGATTAGCCTTCCCTCCATGATTACATATGAGGCAGCATAAGTCTCTTGTATTGTAATCTGTTCACATTTCTTTGTCTGCCACTGTGTGTCCCAGGAGCACAGGCACTGTTTCTTACTCATCTTTGAGTTCCTGTTTCAGGCAGAGAGACTGGCCCATGCAGGCACTTAATACACACTTGACAAAGAAACAGGGGAGTGATCCCCTTTGTGCTGAGTGGCAGGTCTTTCATTTTTTCAATTTCTTTTTTTTTCTTCTCTATTTATTTTAAATTTTTACTGAGAGCAGTTAATGACAGAAAAGTGGAGGTTTTCTTGAGATACTTGAAGTAGGATTCTCTCCTTAACCCTAGGACAGACTGCTGCTGAGGTGTGACTTTAAAGGTCCCAGAGCTAAACAACTACACTGTTACTGTATAGCACAGGGGCCTGTACTCAGTATCTTGTGAAAACCATAATGGAAAAGAAGATGAAAAATAATGTATGATATATGTAAAACTGAATCATTTGCTATACGGTAGAAATTAACACAACACTGTAAATCAACTATATTTCAACAGAATAAAATTTTAAAAAGAGGTTCATGGCAGCTGGGGGAAGAGTTGGGGGGTGCACACATTAATAAGATATGTAGTGAAGGTACCTTACTGAAAAGGATGTGAAGAACTCTGACTGAATGGGACTGTCCATGACAATGAATAGAATGCCAGCTACCACCAAGATTCGACCAGGCCCATCATGATACTCAGCTCAGTATAAGAGCTGATTAAGGTTCTGAGCCACCTTGATTTCTAGATCCCGGACATTAACAGGAAAGACTGAAATTACTTCTGTTTGGTCTTTGGTTATCAGACACACAAACACTCGTGGATAGGAGCATAATGTTCACAGGAGTCAAGGTTTATTTCAGAAACCATTTGTATTCTAGAACAGAGACACATGACCCTACTTTCTGTACTGGCCAATTCCAAGTGGATCATGCAAAGTTTTATGGGTTAGGTTTCCTGGCAGCCTGAAATGACGCTCTTCTACTTATAGGAGTTAGGTAACTTGGGCATTTTGATTATGAGACAATCAACCACTTGGCTAGATTAAAAGTGGAGAGTAACAAGTTAGCTACAGTAATTAGAAGTAAGTGATGAGTGACCATTAAGGGGGAAAAGACATAGCTGCTAACTTGTTCAATGCAAAACAAGCAAACAAAAAGCAAAACAGTGTTTCACCTGGAAAACAACAGTCTGGACAAGTTCAAGCCCCTAGCCGTCTATGAACTTCTGTGGAACTTTGTTACCCAAACTAAAGACTTACTGAGAACAGAAATGAGCCAAAACTGAGTAGTTAATAAGGAAAGTTCCACCCCCAACTCCCTACCAAGAGCAAGGGCAGGTGAACATCCCTAAAATGCCTGGATCCCCGGAGATCGCCCAAACAGCTTCACCGCCCTCGCTGTCAACAGTGCTCTGCGTCCCCTCATCCTAGGCCCCTCTTGGAGGACGCCCGACCAGAGTTCACACAACCAGAGGCCGTCCACTTCCCTAGCTTCGTGAAAGGTCTCAGTCGCTCCCGCGCTGACCCCATCTGGCCCCTCGTCTCACCCCAGGCAGCCAGACAGTCGATCTGCAGAGGCAGCTTTTCTAGGATCGGCACCGGCTCGAAGGCGTCGTGCATGGCGGCAGGTGCAGTCGCCGCCACAGCCTCAACCGGACTGTGCCGGCTCGGGTGTGGGGCCGGAATCACGACCAGAGAAGAGTGGGGACCTCGACTACTGGCCCTTGGGCAATAGAGCCATCAACACCGGACTTCCTGCAGAGTTAAGCCCGCCCCTTCCGCAGTCGAAGCCCCGCCCCTTCCGCCCCGGTTCCTAGAGTAATCTCCAGGAGTGATCTGGTACCTGGGATAGCGTTTTTCGCTGGACCATCGTGTAGCCCGAGTGGTCATGGGCTTAACAAGGTGGAAAAGGGATCTTAATCTTTGAACTGTTTTGGGCATCAGAGCCCGATGAAGAATTCAGGCTTTGGCGTTAGTTAGACTTGGGATGGAGACCTGTTATTTAGAAAATGAGCTCAGTAGCTGTGGCGTTTAAGAAACAATCTCTAGAAGCCTTAGTTCTGTATCTGCAAAGTGATGGTAGTGTTGTGTACCTAACCTTGTGAGCTTTTAGCAACAGCTGACATTCTAAGCACTCAATCAATGGTAGTTTTCGTATTACCATTATAAACCCAACTAATTCGCAGTAACTTTCCCTTGTATTTTATTTTAGGGGCTTATCGAGGCCAGTTGTTCTCAAAGTATGGTCCCTAGGTCAGCATCACCTAGGAACTTGTTAGAAAGGCAGTCCCAGACCTCATCCAGCCCTACGGACTCAAACACTGAAGCTGGGAAGGGGTGGGTGGTGGTCCAACTGTTTTAATAAGTATCCAAGGTGAGTCCATGAACTTTTACTTGAAGTTTGAGAACCAAAGCAAGAATGATCTGTATCTGGCAGTTTACCCCAAAGAAAACAGCTAGTATGCCATGAAGTGAAGCATTTGGTTTAAAGCAAAATGTAAAACAAAAAAGGAGTGAGTCTGTGATATAATCATATTAAAAAAAAACAAAAAACCTACAGCTCTGGTCACTTTTAGTTTCTTCATCTGTAAATGAGGAATACTGTCCCATCTTTATCAAATACTGTTTCTGATAATCAAATGAAGTATTTTCAAGTAGTAAGAAACACAAAAATTGCTAAAGAAATCTTGGGGCTAATTTTCCCCATAGAAAGAAACTGAACACCTTGAAAATTTAGAATTACCAGCTGTTCTGCTAGAAGGCCTGCTACCTTGTAGTTCAAGACCAAAATGAACAATGTAGACTCAAGTTGGTTACAGGTCAATGTGATAATATAAATTACTTCTGAACCTAGTCCAAGAACTGATACACTACAGCCAATCACATTAACACAAGAAGCCATGAGAAAACAGAATTACCAGGCTATTGAATTTGTGCTATACACCCCTGCTTTTAACAGTAGGTTTCTGGGAATTTCCAGGTGGTCTGGTGCTTAGGACTTGGCACTTTCACTGCTGGTGGGGGGACTAAGATCCTGCAAGCCATGTGGTGTTTCAAAAAAAAACAAACCACACCATATATAGGGGTTTTTGCCTAGTTTCAAATTAATATCTAACCAGTCTCAAAATATATGACCAACTATCCTGCTATATTATGACCACTATTCACTTGCTGAGTTTTGATGTGGAAAAACAGAAGCACACAAAGTTAATACCAGCCCTTTGCAAATGGGTTAACTGGAGAAGAGGCAGTTCGTATTGTTTCTTAAGAGATACTATCTAGGTGATTTTTGTTGTTGTTGTTAATCACCATACAAAACAGCTAGAGAAATGTTACATAAACACTTTAGTGAAGATTGTAGTCACGTGGTCACTGATTTTAATAGAAAATAAGACAACACAGAATAAAACCCATGTAAGGAAAATTCAATGGCAGTGTGAAGAAAGAACGGTATTCAGAGAAAGTCTTGGAAAAAACGGTATTCAGAGAAAGTCTTGGAAAAAAAGTGACAAAAACATCGATTTTGTTAAAACTTTTTAATATTAAAAAGTGGCATGAACTTTCTATGTAGAACAAAAAATCTTGGGAAGACAAAATTGGACAAAATCATTCGAACAAATAATAGTGCTTCAAATGAATCCCATCACCTTGTGATGTTTCTTATAAACCATCCCTAAGCCAACACCAGATACAAGTACAGTCAATCCTAAAAAATGAGCAGCAGTCCAGGGCCTCCACATTATTTCATGCAGAAAAAACTGTTTAAGAAAGAAGGACCTGTTTCCTTTATATTAGCTCCTTCTTCTGAAGCATATAATCCCTTTAGCAGGGTGCTCACTCACATGCACTTAAGATGGAGTGCCTTTCTGCATCTAGTGCAACACCCAGTGAAAGGCATGAAGGCAAACAAAGCACTGCCCAGGACTCCACAATGCTGCCCTTGAAGGCTTACAAAACAGTAGTTAAAAGTTCTGGAGTGTGCACCACATTGCCAGCAATGGGATGTGTCACAATAGCAGATGTCAAAAGAGTTAAGCTAATATTTCTCTCTAAAGTACATCTGAAATAGAAAAATCTTTAATATACACCATTTGTAAACAAAATTGCACTTGATTTTGCTTCTTCAAATGATCTAAATCACACTGTAACAGTCTCTCTCTCTCCCTTTGTTGTTGTTGTTTTAATCACTGATAGAACTGTGGCTCCTTAACGCAGGATTTTTTTTTCCCCTCTAAACTACCTCTGCAAGATTTAACCTTGGCTTTCCAGGAAATGCAAAGATAATTAACAATTTCACCCATCACCTACGTAATTCCCTAAATAAATAAAAATTACAGGCAGTTGCTCCTGGATATTACGTATTATGGTGCTGATGTCACAGTTCTTCAGAGGATGTTAAATTTTTTAGTTTGACAGATTAAACAATTTAAACATTATAGAAGGTTTAGGAACAACATACACAAGTTGCATAAACATCCATGTCAGGGTGTGGGAGGGAAAGGGGCATCAATGCTGCAAATAAAAAACTTGTAGATTCTTTTCATCCTATGAACTTGTTTTCAAGAGTGTGTTCTCCTTGTTCCAACACCTCTATCCAGCTCCAATGCACAAAGATCAAGGAACAGATCAAGATGTCATTGCCTCCTTTAATCCCATGGAGCAGTGCAGTGACTAACATAGAAGCTGATCTCTTTCCAGGTACTAGCCATCCTCAGTTGCAAATCTTCCCATTCTTTACTCCATTTTGGACCTTTCGAAGTGCGTGATCATTCGTTCCTAGGGTGGAAAAAGTTATTTTAAGTATATTAATTTTAAATGGTCTACATTCCAAACATCTTTTACAAAAATGATCACACGTTTTCTTAAGTACTTGCTTAAGTTCATTAGCTACTTAGAGTAATACTTCCTAATCATCTATGAAGATTTTGAAACATACAGATGTCCAAGTCCAAAGATTAACTGAAGCAAAATCTCTAGGCTTCTGGGCAACAAGCGACAAATCAAAAGGAACTGTGTATTTTAGAGTCACTTAAGTTTAATAAAAATGTGTACCTCCAGTGATCCAGGAATTTAACTTAATGAAAGAGTCAAGGATATGGGCAAAGATTTAGCTTCTACCATCTCTACCACTGTAACAGAATACTAGAAAGAATTGTGTCCAAAAATATAAGACTGTATAGACAAACTACAGTATATCCTGATTAAAATTACATCTGATGAAAAAGTTCTAGATATCTGTTGCACAACAATGCACATATAAATTAACACTTTGCACTTGAGATAGGTTAGAATGGTAATTTTATGTGTTTTCCATAATTTTTAAAAATCATGTAAAAAATTACATTTGATTATAAAGCAGTATTTATAATATGCTGTTTCAATTGAAAAAATTAATGTAATACTATTAAATTTCACAGTAACTACACAGGAATTTTACTTGAGAATATTCTTCATTTTTCCCAAACTCTGATAGAACTGTAAATCCCTTTGCAATATGATAATTACATCAGAAAATCTATCCTTTTCACATTTTCTCTTAGAAATACCCCTCCCTGAAGCTCTCTGTTCTCTTCCATTCTGGACTAAATGCTCTCCAAACCTGTTGCTCAGCTGTCACTGAGAATTTCTTACATCATCATCCTAGGAATTTATCCCTGCCTCTGTGTCAGATCCTTGATTTCCTGGATCCAAAGTCTTTCTCTTTACAGCTCTCTCATACTCATATATTTTATGAATAAACATCTACATAGGAATTTTACTTTAGAATACTTTCTAATTTTATTCTAGAATACATTTCCTGAGAAAGCACACATAGGATGTCAATTACTTTATTTTTTTACATGAATGAAAACATCTTTATTTTACCCTCAATTCATAATTGAGTATAGAATTCTAGTTTGAAAATAATTTTTCTCAGAATTCAAATACATTGTTCTATTATCTTCTAGTTTCCAATGTTGTTGAAGAGTCTGATGTTGTTGAAGAGTCAGACTCTTCAACTCTAGTCCTTTATCTGTTTCTCTTGTAATTCATTTAAGTTCTTGAACCATTTTTTCATACAGGGCAATATAAAACCATGAAGTCTGCCACCAAAAGTACTACAATAAACACATATTCCCCTGAACAGCCCAACTGGGTTTCACATACTCAGCCCTCTCTGGTTGAAATATGGATGTCTGGAAAGCTGAAGCCAAAAGGGAAATCCTGAAGGCCAACCCAATTATAAGCAGAAGGTGGCACCCAAGAGAAAGAACTGAGAATACACCACAAAAAGCCAAGTGTTCAGTTGTCTGCAAGGTCCAGTTCTCGGTTAATTCAATGCATTGAACAGCTAAGGAATCTGACACTGTGTGCTGCACCACACAGCAGGTCAGTGGGAAGTGAAGAAACCAATTTTTAACAGTCAATCCAATACAGTAAGTCACAATTGGGCAAAGACTTTTAAAAGGCTTTCTGAAATCAAGATAACCTAAACATTCAGAACATGTCTAGAAGAGGTTTCCATGAACTCAGACTACAAGTCTGATATAAGACTTCATGAGAAACCTTCTAGATGAAGTGTATGGAGCCAACTAAAAATCAACATAAACATTTTGTTGTTGTTCAGTCTTCAAGTTGTGTCCGACTCTTCATGACCCCATGGACTGCAACAACATAAACATTAGAAGTATACTAATTATCCTTATTATCTGTAAGATAGTGACACAGATAGTACTGATAGTAGGTAACAAAATCAGG